GGTATCGCGGATACTGCAGTGGCCGTGTCCGGCGAGGGGGCGGAGGTATAGCCACAGAGAAAGGGGTCAAGTCTCACCTGGTCCTTTGAAGCCCGGGCCGCCGCAGCCTCCGCAGCTTGAAGCCTTCGGGGCGGCAGGAGGGACCAGGTCTTTTCTGACCCGCCCCTTTCTGCTCTCCAGCTTCGCACGTTACCAAGGACATGCTCCCGGGGCCCTATCCCAAGACCCCAGAAGAACGGGCCGCCGCCGCCAAGAAGTATAATATGCGAGTAGAAGACTACCAACCGTACCCTGATGATGGCATGGGGTGAGATGCAGAGTCTGCTGGCAGCCGGGCAGTGATGGGAAATGGCCAGCTCCGTTGCGTGGCTCCACTCTGACCATTTTCCCTGAACCTTCTCGTGATCCCCCAGAGTCAGTGGTGTGGGTGCTTTTCTCGGTGGAGGGAGGTGGGAGGTGATGGGTGAGCAGCTGCAGCCTAGAGGACTTCAATTTTCTCCTTGGCTCAGGCTGTTTCCTCAAATGAGGAAGCCGGGATTTTAATAGCTCCCTCGAGGACCCCTGAATAGCAGGAACTTTCCTTGGCTTCATCCAGAGCGCAAGGTTTCATTTAGATTGAGCATCTGCTGGGCTCAGGTGCTGTCATGCAGACACGTGATCAGGCTGGAGCTGGACTCCTGTCTTGAGAGCCGTATTTGTAGATGGAGTACTCTATATTCGTGTGTATATCTTTCTTGTAAAAAATACCTTTGCTATTAGGGCTGTGGAAATTGTAGTCACTGTCAAGCGGATTAAGCAGCCAACTCCCCTATGCCAATCCACCCCCCCCCCTTTAAATAACATCCCCATGGTTAATTATCTGGAGCGATTACCATCACCCTCATTTTCTTTCCTAGCATCGCTCTTTCAATAGTGGTTTTAGCAGCTCCTATTCTTCTTCTTGTTTTCCAATCATTTTCTGTGACACATGACTAGTCATCATTTCCTATGCCTCTTATTTTGTTGCGGACAAGAGTAGCATTGGTAGCAGTCTGTATAAGCTGAAACTGGATTTGTTGGGGGAAAACCCAGCTTAGCAGGAAATCCCATGAGGTGTTTGAGACATGGAGATGTATGCTAACTTGGTGGTTGGGAGCACAGTTGCCATGAAGAGAAAGCTTTTCTAATCTGAACCCCTTTTGTTTGTATTCCAATTAGCTGGGTGACCTTGGGTTCAGACTAAACTACAGTTTTATTTTCTGTCTAATGAGGGAATCAGAGTGATTGATTGCTAAATTCCCTTCCAGCTCTGACATTATAACATTGCATGACTTTTTGTTGTTTTTGAAAGAGGGGGACAAGCATATATGTTATAATGTTGCAGAGTTTGACATAGGGGTGTCTGGGTGGCTCAGTCGTTGAGTCTGACTCTTGGTTTCTGTTCAGATCATGATCTCACGGTTTGTGGGTTCAAGCCCACACTGGGATGGGGGAGGAGAGGGAATTTGGCTTGGGATATTCTCTCTCTCTCTCTCTCTCTCTCTCTCCCCCTCTCTCCCTCCCTCCCTCCCTCTCTCTCTCTCTCTCTCTGCCTCTCCTTCCCTTGTGCACTCTCAAATAAATAAACTTTAAAAAGGTAAAATAAAAACCAGAGTTTGACATGAAGTTTTACTTACACTTTGGACTTTTGTGGTTAGTTCTGTGCTTAGTGACTATAAATTGAGATACTGATTTGAAAGTGGTTTCCTCTGTCCTTAGGTGAAGCAATTTTTTCTGTCACTTGGGTTCTTATCTCTAACATGAGGGGACTTTGAGTTTTCTGAGTGAGGCTGCTCAGAGCCCCTTCCAGAAGTTTTTCTGTCTCTCCAGATATGGGGACTACCCAAAGCTCCCTGACCGCTCACAGCAGGAGAGGGATCCATGGTATGACTGGGACCACCAAGACCTGAGGTTGAACTGGGGTGAGCCGGTGAGAAATCCAAATCCCATTTGACCTTCCTTCCTTCTCCCTAAATCTTCCGGAGGATTCTTTCTTTAGTCTAAATGGCACTTTGCTGTCTAAATAACATTAAGGCTTTCTGCCCAAGGAAGCAAGGTCCAGTGATCTGAGATCTGAGGTTCCATGTGTGGTACATGGAATGGGATTTCTGGAAATAATCAGAACTATGTACTTTGAAAATTGTGAACTTCCATGATTGAGCTGTCTTTAGTCAGCAGAACCTAGAGCTAAGCCAGCACCTAGTCCTATATGCTAGAGTAGCTCACACTTGATTCTCAGAGTATTGTCCTGAGGCAATAGAATGCTTTTATTGAACTTTATATCAGGCTCTGATCACCCTTTTGCAGACTGCCTGCCATTTGCAGGAAGAGCAGTATGTGGTATTTATCTGCTTTTCTGCCTCAGATGCACTGGGACCTTGACATGTATATCAGGAACCGTGTGGACACATCCCCTACACCTGTTTCCTGGAATCTCATGTGTAAGCACCTCTTCGGCTTCGTGGCCTTCATGCTGTTCATGTTTTGGGTTGGGGAGACTTACCCCACCTACCAGCCTGTGGTGAGTATCTGAGAAGTGTCCCCGTAGGCACATTTGCTTAGCCCTGTTTCCTGAGGGAGTGAAGTCTGTAGAGTAGGGATCCAGCCAAGACCAAGCCTGTCTTCCTGGTAAGGCCTGTGGAGGGCCTGACTCATTGGCCTGGCACCAGAGTCAGAGCACTGCTCCATGCCCACATCTTGGATCAGCCTAAGAGAGAAGAAACGGTTTAGGACTAGGTGAGGAATGAGAATGTGGAAGTCAACTCGTCTTCTATAAATGTTTATTTTGAGAGAGCAACGAATAAATTTATTTATTTATATTGAGGGAGGGATAGAGAGAGAGGAGGGAGGGAATCCCAAGCAGGCTCTGTGCTGCCCGACCGACACAGGGCTCGATCTCACAAACCATGAGATCATGACCTGAGCCAAAACCAAGAGTCAGACACTCAATTGACTGAGCCACCCAGGCGCCTCTCAACTAGTCTTCTAGAGTTGCCATTTGGGGGCTGTACTCACTAATTATGTTTTAGCAAGTGATCTTTCAAGGTAGAGTCAAGGAATCTAGAGCTGAAACCTATCTTCTGCTGGAGGCATGAAGGGCAGTTCCCTTAGGGTACTGGAAGCAATTAAGTATTTACTACAAGCATGGACCATTTTATTTTGGAGAGTGTAAAGGACACAGAAAATATGCTGTCTAGCTTTATGGGAGTTTAATTTGGATAAGCAAATGGTGAGCAACATTTGAACAGAGATACAGGAATTTGGCAGTTTTAGTGTATATATGTAAATTGTGAATGTGTGCGTAAAGACGTGTGAGATGCTGTTAAAAAGAAGGATGGTGCTAAATACTAAAAATATGTATAGACTTTGGATGGTGGGGAGAAGTTGGAGAGAACATTTGGGGCAGGACAAAATAGAATGAAGAGGAGAGTGAGTTAGCTGGAATTGAATAGGCATATAAAATATTCCTAGAATAACCAGCTGTATTGGTTACTTAGAGAGCTGCTAAAAATTCAGATTCCTGGAGAGCCTAATTCAGTAGCTCCATGGTGGGGTTCTAAAATCAATATTTAACAAGTTCCCAGGTTATTCTGATGATTTCAGAAATTAGGTATGGAAATTGCCATGTTAAAAAAATATTGTGAGGCGAGCTGGTTAGGTTGGGCTGCTTTTATTGCATGGCTAGGGATTTGGGCTTCGTGGCATAGTAAGACATCAATGGCATTAATAGTAAGACTAGTGGCATAGTAAGACATTAATTCAACAAATATTTATGAAGACCCTACTATGTTCCACGTACAGATTGGGCTAGGGGTTGGGGACCCAGTGATGACCTGGACTTCCTCTAGTCAGCACCGAACTGTGTTGGGTTTTTGAACAGAAAAATGACATAATCTAATGAAGGCTAGGAGTTTAGTATGATTGATCTGGGAGTAGTCTACAGGGTAGATTGTCCGGGAAGGAACTGAAAGCAGGAAGACTGTCGTGTTTGCAGTTGGCTGCTCGGTGCTACCTCTGCAGAGATCATCGATGTCCTGATGGTAGCTGGCATGTCTGTGTGCACTGACACGAGCCTTCCTACCAAGCCCCAGGGGCTCCAGGCTGGAGAGTGCACGTAGGGCTGGTGTGAGCACTAACTTCTCTTCAGGAGAGCAAGAAACACAGTGTGGCTCTTCCATTTTTCAGTTCTGTAAGCACATCACCCTTTTCTCCTCCCCTTGAGCTGTGTTCCCTGACAGCTGTTTGTTGGTAAAGCCAGCAGCCCCTAAAGCACGTCCCAGCCGTGTCTCCTCTGTGCTTTCCCCCACCGCTGCTCCTGCACGCCTCATTTGCTAGGCCACTTTAGTGGTGGAACCATTAGAGGCTGAGTGACTTAAAGGAGATTGAGTCTGTCTCGACCCCAGGAGAGAGTGGGATGGATGGATGCATCGTCTCATTTAGAAAGCACTCTCCCTTCCTCCCTCCTTCCTTTTCTCTCTCTCCCTCTCTCCCCTGACACACTCTCACTCTCTCTCTCTCTCTCTCTCTCTCTCTCTCTCACACACACACACACACACACACAGTGTAGGCACCACCTCTTTTACAATCTAGGCTTTCTGTCTGCCTTGGGCTGAGTAGGGAAGAGGAGCAGTGTTCCTGCTGTTCTAGCCCAGCTGGGTCCGACCAGAGGCCACCTCATACCCATTTACCATGTGTGATTGTTAACTCAGAGTGGGGTGTAGCCAGGTATTGGCTGGATGTATGCTATCTTGCTGACCTGTGTTTTTTCCTCAGGGGCCAAAGCAGTATCCTTATAACAATCTGTACCTGGAAAGAGGCGGCGATCCCACCAAAGAGCCTGAGCCGGTGGTTCATTATGAGATCTGAGACGGCTTCATCGGCTGTGTGTCCCCTGACTTCCTCATTTCTAGAGATTTAACCTTAATGAAATCCCTAATAAAACGAAGTGCCGTGGTATCTGTGCCTCATTTCCCCAGGAATAGCCACTGCCGTGAGGACCTCATCCTTTTCCTTTCCTTTTTTTCTGCCTGCTATCTGTTCCCACCCCCTACCCACTCTGAGATTAGAAAGATGGGAGGGTAGGGGGAGTTAAGCACAAGAAAATGGTACTTTGTTAATTTTGCTGGGGCTGTGAAGGTATTTGAGGGTTTCAGTTGTGCAGTAGGTGGTAAAGGTAGCTTCTTTGCCCATTTACAGGGTTGAAGAAAAAGGAAGATATGTTCCTGACTTCCCAAGTTGGAACAAGAGATATTTTCCATAAGAAACCTTTTTATAATGGTTAGGGTTTTTGTTTTGTTTTTGTTTTTGTTTTTTGGAAAAAGTGCACTTAAAAAAATTTTTTTTTAAGCCTATTTATTTATTTTGAGAGAGACAGAGACAGCATGAATGGGGGAAGGGCAGCTAGAGAGGGAGAGAGAGAATCCCGAGCAGGCTCTGTGCTGCGAGCACAGAGCCCGATGTGGGGCTCAAACCCATGAAGCCATGAGATCATGACCTGAGTCAAAACCAAGACTGAGCCACCCAGGCGCCCCTAAAAAGTACACTTTAACATGTTTCAAGTGTGTTATAGGATAAATAGGTGTTTTTGAACTCACCTGAGGCTGTGACTGTCTCTAATGTCATTTCTGTTGTAAGAGTACACACAACTATTCCTTGTTCCAAAGCAACTTGTGAATCCTACATTTATGAATTAGAGGGTAGTTCAGTGAGTTATTCTGAACCTATGCATGGCTTTTGCTATGGTTTTTGAGGGTCTATCTCGATGCATCTGTTAAGTGAAACAACTCATTTTCTCTTTGTCCCTTTGGAGACGTTTTCTTAGAATTACACTGCCTGAAAACCTGTCCCATAGGAAAAAAAAAAAAGCACACTTTCAATATGACCTATGAAAGCAAGTCCATCCAAGTTACCAGACCTTTAGTGGTTGTCCAGGAAGTGAAAGAGGGATTTGTTTTTAATAATTTTTTTTAAATGTTTATTTTTGAGAGAGAGCAGAAGCAGGGGAGGAGCAGAGAGAGGGAGACTATATTCAAAGCAGGTGCCAGGCTCTGAGCTGTCTGTGCAGAGCCCAACACGGGGTTTGAACTCCCGAACTTCAAGATCATGACCTGAGCCGAAGTTGGATGCTTAACTGACGGAGCCACCTAGGCACCCCCAAAGAGACTTTTATGAGACCAGAGGATGGGTACTTCTAATAAAATGCCACTACTTGAGGGTTTCCACTGGCTTTTTATCTGTCTTCATTCTCTGTCCTCTGTTGCCTTTGGTAATATATGTAACAAACGTCTGTGTGTCTAATATATATATCAGACATTGATAGGCCCTGGGGCTATAAAATTGAACAGGACAAAAATAGTTGCCTTCAAGTATAGAAGCTAAGACTGGGAGTTACAAAACAGTGAAAAGAACAGCTGAGTTGAGAGAAAAGAGTGTACCTTTTTTTTTTTCTTTTTTTCTTTTTTTCTTTTTTTTAATTCTGACCTGCTTGCAGCTGTGACCTGCTTTCGGTTAAAATTTTTCGGAGTGTCCCCATCAGTGACGCTTTTGCCTCATTCCCTAGTTTGAGGTGTTGTCTAAGGTTCAGTTTTCCACCCTATTTACTTGCCCTCGGGTTTCATCCACTGTTGAGGTGCCTAACATGTTCAAGAAATACTTAGTACGCACAAAGAGTGGGCAGGCACAGACAATACCCTAAATTGTCTAACATCTGGACTTCAAAACCCTCTAATCCCCACAAAAAGGAAATCTAGACTTGTATCACAGTGACTTGAGGCTCCATTGTAAAATAATGGAACTGACTCACCATCTTTGGAGGCAAAAATACAGTGGAGTTTCTGCATTAAGCCAAAGTTTTGAATCAAATAACTTAGGTCTAAGATCTTCAACTGCTGGTAGAATATTTTTATTTGGAAATGCCATAATTCCCTCAGTCAACGTAAAAAATCCATCTGATTTTTTCACCTCCCTCTTCAGCTCTTTAACTTCATCACTCACAAGAGCCTGTCCAGTTTTCCTTTACAATCATTGCTACTATATTAATCCAGGCTTTCATCACCTGGTACCTGGACTGTTCTATTAGTCTTCTAATTTGAGTCCCTGCCTTCAGCTCTGGTCTCTCTCTAAAGGGATCCATATTGCTTGCCTTAAAATACAATTTTCAGGGGCACCTGGGTGGCTCAGTCCGTTAGGCAGGGACTTCAGCTCAGGTCATGATCTCGCGGTCTGTGGATTTGAGCCCCGCCTCGGCTCTGGGCTGGCAGCTCAGAGCCTGGAGCCTGCTTCGGATTCTGTGTCTCCCTCTGTCTCTGCCCCTCCCCTGCTTGCTGTCTCTTTCTCACATAATAAACATTAAACACACACACACACACACACACACACACACACACACACACACACACACACAATATATTCATCTTATTGCATCCCTACCCATAATTTTAACTAACCCCCAATTACCTGCAGAGTTGAATTGGTATTCCCAATCTGTTTCCCGCCTCTTTCATTCATGGTGTGGGAAATGCCAGGGTGCCTACTAGCCAGTTGGGCCCTTCCTCCTTTCTGAGACACCACCTATCTTGCCGCTGCAAGGTATGACACCCGTCTTGCGTCCCTGAAATACTCCAGGAAGCCCCTGGTCTACAGTACCTAGGCCTCTGCATGCCTATAGCCCTTAATTCGTTCAGCCAACAGCTTTTCGGCGTCAGTTGTTGGTGGGCTGTAGTGCGTCACCGCTGTTTATGGCCTCGATTGCTATTTACCTTTTCAATTAGGATTCCACTGAGAGCTTCTGGAACTAGTTAGTACCAGGTCCTCACCATCATAACAAATAATGAATTAGTATTTTCCCTTTTCAGGGCTGTTCCCCGAGCCTGGCTCTAACTGAATAGGCCAGAACTTAGCGGTCGCAGGATCTGACCCTCTGCGGCAGAACCGCGCAATCGGCGCAGGTGAGGGAGCCGGCAGAGCCAGAATCCTATTCCATCCTCTCCGCTGCTCCGCCGGCGCTTCGCGGCGCGTGCGGGCGGCAGTGCTCGGCCTCCAGGACTACTTTTGGCCCTCGGCAGCCGCCGTCCGCAGCGCCCAGCTGAGCCCACAGGCCCTCGGAGGAGACCTGCCGTGGCTGCGCCGCGCTGCCGTGACCCGGGCTCTCCGCGCAGGTGGGTTTTCCCCGCCTCTCTGGGGCCCGGGGCGCCGCTCCACCGTAGGGAGAGCGCCGGAGGGACCTCGTCCCCCGCGGAGACCCCGGTCCGCGCCTCTCGGGCGCCACCGCGCTCGCCCTCGGATTGGACCCGGCTCCGCTCTCGCGGCCCCGCCGGGGTGCTGCGGCCCCACGAGGGTCTGTCTCCCTTCAGCGCTGCCCTCGCACCTTCTCCCGTGCTCCCCGGACCCCGGCTTAGCCTAGCCTGGAGGGAAGCTGTGCTCACCGCCCCCGCAGGGCCTCGGCTGCGGAGGGTCGCTGGCGCCCTCCATCACCGCGGGAGTCTGTTCGGCTCTTGGTTGAATGTAGATTAACAGCCCATCTTCCCAGTTTCTAGGCCGTCGGGGATTTAACACCTCATCTGGAGTTGAGTTTGAACTAATATCATGGTTAAAAGCACTGAGCTATGGAGGCTCAGTGGGGTTCATATCTCGGCCCCAGCCAGTTTTCTTCCCGGTGAAATGTATATAATAATAGTACCTGTTGCACAGAACCGTTATGAGAAGTGAGATTTGCCCGTCAAATGCGCAGGGCTGAACGCAGCTCCTACTTCTGTAAAGGGCTTTCCCCACAAACGGGAAAACGGCTTTGACCAGCAGGTGGCAGTGGCGACTGTATAATATGATGTGCAGCGAGTCCGAAGTTCCCTGGTGTTGCCTCAAGCGTTTAGAGGCCCCCTCTAAAGAGGGTCTTGGCTGAGAATCTTGGCTGAATTGGCAGCTTTAAACTCTCTTCAGGCTGGAAAGTACATTAGAGATTGAGGAATACTACCTACTATTTTAGTAGGTTGCGACTACCCTGACGGTGGTTTCCTTAAGCAGTTTACAATGGGTCCCAAGTTTCTTCCCTCAAGTTCAGTGTTACATTAAAAACAATACAAAACAAAACCAAAAACTTTTCTGCCACTTTGCTAGCCTGTTGGGATGGCACTTTGAATATGTGTTAGAATTGTATTGGAAACCACAGAATTAACATGGATGTCTACGTTCATTAAACATATTATCAAGCACTTTACTCTATGCCAGACATTGTTCTGGCACTAGTTAGTTATAACATGGTGAACAAAGCAGACACAGTACAAGCTCTCCTGGAGTTTACTTATTGGTGGTTGAGACCAACAATGTAAATGTAAATAAACACAAAACAATAAGTTACCAAGGAGAAAAAAAATTGAGACTGATTTTGGTTGGGTGGCTCACCTCCCTGAGGGGGTGAGACACTTAGCCCAGAAAGATGTGAAAAGGAGCCAGTCATGCAGAGAATGAAAGGGAGAACATTTAAAGTATCGGAAACAGAGTTTACAAAAGCTCTGAGGTAATAAAAAGCCAGGAAATGAAAGAAAGGAAAAAAAAAATGTGGCTGCAGCGTAATGAATAAAGGGGGAAAGTAGCAAGAGACGAGGTTGAAGTGGAAGGATGAGCCGTTAAGCAGGGTCATAAGGGGTTTGAGTGCAATTGTGTTTTGAGGGCAATAGAAGTCATTGGAAGATTTGAAGCATGGAATGCCAAAATTCTATATCTTTTTTATTTTAAAAGTTCACTTCTGCTGCTATGTAAAGAGTTAATTGGGTGATGGTAGAATAAGGATAACCATTTGGAAGATTATCGCAGTAATGCAGGTGAGAGATGACGGTGTCTTCAGATAGAATGGTGGTGGTGGAGCTAGAGAAAAGTAAACAGGTTAAGAGACATTTTGGGGGTGAAATCAGGCAGCCTTAATGATGAATTAGAAGGGAATAAGGGGCAAGAAGGAATTGAGGGTGACTTTCCGGTTCCCAGGTTGAGCAGTTTGGGGGGATAGTGATACCATATACTGAGATGAAGAAAAATGGAGAAGGAACAGATTTAGGGGAAGGAGGTGGTAGAATGGAGAATTCCGTTTTAGACAGACTGACTTAGGTTATCTTTGCTATATCCAAATAGAAATGTTTGACGAGCAGTTACATATAAGAACTTGGCGCTCAGAGTTGAGAAATTTGTGTTGGTGGTATGAATTTAGGGGTCATCAGCATACGGATGAAAAGCCAAGGGGATGGATGAGGTCACTGAGAGGTTATCCAATTTGATGGTTATCATCACCATTGGGCCTGTGGCAACCAGTGTGTTTAAATATCTTTTTGGGGTTAAAGCATTAGATTTTAGTAATTGGGTAAGTGAACTGTCCTTGCAGATCTACAGATGGTCATGCGTGTGTCACCCTGTATTGCCCTGAAATGCCCCCATTCCATGGTGGGGAGAGAGAAACAAGAACTCGTGTCCACAGGTGCTTCCTAGCTCTGGCCCTTAAGCTTGCTGATTTCTATTTTTAGTAAGCTGAGGGTTATGTCAGTTTTCTGCCACCTACAGGACGGACCATGAAGCTAAAGGAGCTTGAACGGCCTGCTGTCCAAGTGTGGAGCCCAGCCAGCCAGTGCCCTGTGTATCTCGCCACAGGTATGATGATACTGTGGACTAGGATCCACTGGAAGTACATAGGTCAAGGGGAAACTTAATATTCAGAATTCTTTATTGAGCTTCAGAGAAAGCTTTAGAGTCATGAAAAGGTGGGGTTCGCTTGCAGGATAAGCAAGGGGACATTAGGTGTTTGGGGTACCTAGGGGCAGCCTTGAATTATGGTTCAAGCTTGAGCACCTCCTGTTTTCTTGCTTTCTTTGGAGTTACCACTTGAAAAAGGATATACCCAGTCCTCTCCTGTTCCGCTGCCTCTCCCTAACCATTTATACCCCAAATCCATGCATGTATTTTTGCTTATATGCTGCCTCTTCCTAACTTTTCTTGTGCCTAGGAACATCTGCCCAGCAGTTAGATGCCTCCTTTAGCACAAATGGCACCTTGGAAATCTTTGAGGTTGATTTCAGGGACCCCTCCTTGGACTTGAAACGCAAGGGAGTCCTTTCTGCCTCAAGCAGGTACCATGTCTGAATTGTTGATGTGTGTGCAGGGCAGCTCCTGATGTAGACTGAGGAATTCTGGGAGCAAGGTGTGCTTCTCAAGGCTCATAAGGATATCTATTAGGTGAAGGACCTTCACCAAGTTGGGGAGAAGTTAACTCTGGGTTTATTTTACCAAAGGATTTTAAAAACGCCCACTCTCACTTTTTTGGTCAGCAGCGGCATCAGGCAGTGTCGTGTGTTAGAGACTCCTCACCCAAGCCTGGACCCGTACGTGCCTGATCTCTCTCTGAGCCCAGAGATGTTGGCTTCTTCCTCCCTTGGCTCTTGTGAAGATAACCTTACACAATATCTCCTTTTCTGCCAATGGGAGGAGAATGAATGGGCCTCTCCTCATTGTGGTTAGGCACTGATTGGGTACTCCTGGATTTCATGGCTCTGGCAGGCTTACAGGCCTGAGTACAGGCATTCACAGAGCACATGTATACAGGTCAGGCACTATGCTAGGGACTCTGTATATCTTATTCATTCCTCAAAATGAGCCTGAGCAATAAATACCATTATTCCCATTTTGCATAGGAGGGAACCGAAACTCTGGGAAGCTAGGATTTACACATAGGTCTGATTCCAAAATCTACCTTCTTTCGATTATTCAACTTCTCTTTTATAGGTTTTGTAAAGATGTGGCTTACAGTCTGAAGCAGTGGTCTCCAAATTTTCATACCACTGGGGAAAATGTGAATATTCACTATACTCAAGTTATAGAGGCAATATAAATATATACATGCATTACTCTACTATTAAAAAGTGCCATTTCCATAATTTTATAGATTAAAAATGTCTTTTTCCTACAGAGAATTATCTTGTCCATCCCTCTTTAGAGATTACTGGTCAAAATGCAACTTTGCATTCTCTTATGAATGTTTTGGTCCATTTGAGAGATAAATTAAGATATTTAGATAGAAGTACCCTCTTTTTTCTTTACATGGGTTAGCCTAATAATGAAAGGTTAGTTATCGTTCTCCCTTTCTTGAGCCCCTATATCACTTTCTGACAGTATCCTTTATTTTACAGTTTTTTTTATATCTTTGTATTTCCAGTATCTTCCCTTTGAAGAGCAGCCACTAGAGGGTTTACCAATAATGATGAGATATTCTTAGCCTCTAAGCAAGCATTTCAGAAAGGGCTCCTGAAAGAGGGGAGCTAATTCAATAACATTTATGCTCCTGGACTTAAGAAGAGGGGCAATGGGTAAGAGCTCCTATCCTCAGCCAGCCAAGCAACAGCTTTAGCACAGTAGTGGCTCCTTAGGGCTAATAGTTCCTAAGAAAGAAACAATATAGTTGCTTAAGAAACCTTGAAATTGAATCCTAAGATCCCTGTGGACAGAGATTTTTGTCTGTTTCATTCACTGCTGTATCTCTAACTCCTAAAACATCACCCGGCATTTGATGCTTAAGGATTATCTGTTAAATGAATGAGCGATGCTAGAAATGTCTGGATTACCAAACTGAGCACTCATATCCACCATTTCAGTTAGTTAAAGTTATTCTTCAGTTAATGTTAGTGCCCTGAGAGCTTTTCAGAGGTGATGATCGGTTTGTTTTGCAGCCAACTAGGCTGAAGGGACCCTTTTTGAAATGTTGGTACTCAAATCAGGAATTGTAAACTTCACTTCATACCCTGTTTGATCCTGCAGAGATTGGGAGCTATACCCAAAATAAATAGTGCAGCTAACACTATTGATAGTGTGTCATCTCTATTTTCTTTTCTACCTCTATAATTGTGTGCAAAGATTGAGTTGCATTTCCAAAGACCTAAGGAACTATCTTTGACATAGATCTATAGGGTGTTGTTGAAGAAATCATCTTAGACACCCGAGGGCCTAAGGCACCCACTTCTTTCTGTTCCAGCCTGGGTTCAGTCACTTACTCAGAAATCCACATCTCAAACTATTGACCAAGATGATCGAGGTAGAGAGAGGGCTGCCTGTTCTTTGCTTTATACTTTCCTCTTTCTTTTCTGTGCCATCTTTTGCGTGGTTTAGTGGAAAGCACAGTTGTATTGGGTTGCATCCTTGGCTAGAGATAGGTGACTTTGTGCAAATGGAGGTCGTAGGTTTCCTTACTTACATATAAAGAAGAGGTTGTACAAGAAGACTAAGAACCTATTGAGCTCTAAATTCAGGTATTATGTTCAGTGTTTCCTTCTCTTCCTTTTTTGTATCATAATCTCTTTTCTTTTTCCTTTTTTTTTTTTAAAGAAAGCTTCCTTGAGTCTCACCATTATTACCTAACACATACTTTTCAAAATCTTCCCCCATCCTTTGCCTGCCCTTTTCACCAGACGCATGCCTCAACCACATTTGAATCCTGAAGATCCCCGTATATCAATTCATGAGGCATCAGAAAATATTATGTATTTAGAAATATCTGACTGAAAGAGAAGTCCTCTGAAACACTGGTGTGGGGGTGGATAAGGGACCACCTCAAGCTGTAAATAGACTGAAGAGAGGGAATGGATTAAAGCCAGTGGATGCATCAGAATCAATATGGATTAGCACGTGCATTGAAGCAAGTGATGTTTGGTTTGTTAGATGAATCTCACTCAAGAATAAAGGTTTTTGGGAGAATAATACGTTATTTATGAATTGTCTTAATGAAACGAGGACTTAGCTGCTGTGGCTGAATGAGGTCAGAGACCAGTGTGCGATGTGCAATACTCCGCCCTCTGTCTGCACTGAGGGTCTAGATCTTTTTGTGGCCTCTGTACCTCTGTATGACCTATTCTCTAGTAACGTGAAGACAGTAGGTGATCTATCTTCCAGCACCTTTATAGTAGTTCTGGCTACTTGGGGAACCCTATGGCCTCTCTTTGGGTGCCTGTGTAAGGAACAACACCAAGCAGAAAAAGATCACTTTGTGTACTTTTCTTAGTTTTCCCATTTCCAAGGTTTGCCTTCCTTAGAGATTACATCAAGATCACAGAGTGGAGAGAACGTGGGCTTTGTTGTTGGATAGGCCTGGGTTCAGATCCCAACGCTGCCATCTAATATCCTCTTGGGCACATTGTTTAACTTCTCTGGCCCTGTTTTTCTCTGCTGTAAATTTGGGATACACGGGCACGTATTAGCTGGTGCATATTAGGCTTCAGAAAAGAAGTTCTCTCAGACAGCCACTGCTTCACTTCACTGTCTTCATTCTCCAACTTGAGCACTGCCCTCACTGCTCTACCTTTTTTTTTAGTGTGTGTGTGTGTGTGTGTGTGTGTGTGTGTGTGTGTTGAGAAAGACAGAGCATGAGCAGGGGAGGGGCAGAGAGAGAGGGAGACACAGAATCCAAAGCAGGCTCCAGGCTCTGAGCTGTCAGCACAGAGCCCGATGTGGGGCTCAAACTCACCAACTGTGAGATCATAACTGCAGCCGAAGTCAGACACTTAACTAACTGAGCCACCTAGGTGTCCCTTCACTGCTCTGACTTTTAAGAAAACTTGGATTCCCTCAGCTAGTTTGGCTTGTTTTCACTTTAGTTCAGTAACATGAGGTTGGAATTTTTTTAATGTTTATTTTATTTATTTTGATAGCAAGCGATCAGAGGAGGGGCAGAGAGAGAATCCCAGGCAGGCTCTGCACTGTCAGGGCAGAGCCCAGTGTGGGGCTTAAACTCACAAACTGTGAGATCATGACCTGAGCCAAAATCAGGAGTCAGTTGCCTAACTGACAGAGTCACCCAGACCCCCTCTGAGGTGGTTATTTTTAAAAAGGAACCTTACTAAGCAAATAAAAGCAAAATCCCAAACAAAGAAGTACATAAATTATGGAAGAAAGAATTTACACAACACATATTCCTAGTTATAAATTAGCTAAAGCTTGGCCTCAGCTGAGCTTAGCTAGGATGGCCTTTTGATCTCCCAGGCCTCAATTTATTCTCTTTAACCTTGTCTTTTTCTCTCCGCCAGGAGCATAGCCATGAGCTGGTCGTAGGGCTGGTTCTGTCTTTATGAATTTCAGTGTCTTCCCCTACTGGTCTAGGCTGGTATCAATCTGATGTATCCAACACAGGGGTTCTCAACCCTGTTTGCTTGTTACAATCACCTGGGGGCTCTTGTTTAAAATGTAGATTCTGGGGGCGCCTGGGTGGCTCAGTAGGTTAAGCGTCTGACTTCGGCTTAGGTCATGATCTCGCGGTTTGTGAGTTTGAGCCCCATGTTGGGCTCTGTGCAGACAGCTCAGAGCCTGGAGCCTGCTTCAGATTCTGTGTCTCCCCTCTCTGTGCCCCTCCTATGCTCATGCTCTGTCTCTCTCTGTCTCTCAATAATAAGTAAATGTTAAAAAAATTTTTTTAAAATGTAGATTCTGAGGGCCTGTCTCTGGAAATTCTGCTTTGCAAGGTCTAAGTAGGAAAGTAAAGAATCTGTTTTTTTCTTTTTCTTTTTTTTATTTTAGAGAGAAAGAGAGAGTGCAAGTGAGGGAGAGGGGCAGAGGGGGAGATAGTCTTAAGCATGCTTCCTGTTCAGTGCGGAGCCCGATGCAGGGTTCGATCCCATGACCTTCAGATCATGACCTGAGCCAAAATCAAGAGTCAGTCAACCCCCTGAGCCACCCAGGTGCCCCAAGAATCTGTATTTCTTTGATGCTGTATACTGCCCCTTATCACCATCTCCATGGGAACCTCTTCAGCAGAGAATTGCACCTGTATTCTCATGTTTTGAAAGTTCCCATCATTCCATGCAAACTCTTCCTATACCATCTCTTTAAATCTCTTCTAATCTCTGGAGATCCTATTTTCAAGCCAAAGGCTATCTTTTTTTTTTTAACTTTTAAACTATTCAAACATAGAAAGTTGTAGAATAGTACATGAACAATTATATACTTTTACCTAGATTTATCAGTAGTTAATATTTTGTTGCATTTGCCTGCATTCCGTGCACTCTTTTTCTGCGTGCACATGTGTGCGTACACACACACACACACACACACACACACACACACACACACACACACACACTGTTCCCTGACCATTTGAAGAGCAGAGATGATTGACATTCCTTGAGTCCGTTGAATGATCATGTCCTGGTCCTCGCTTAACTTGTCCTAGCCGTTCTCACTCTCCTAGATGTTCTCTTTCATGTCCTATTTGGGCTCTAGGCTCACTCTCACTAGTGAAATGGTTAACCATAGGACTGTACTTTCTACATGCTTACAGAAAGAAAATCATTTTGTCACACTCTGTGTTCTGCATTTTGGTCGCTCTAAACTAACTAGGCTTGTTCTCTAACTCTTTGGTGACTCCCCCTTGAGGTCTCAGGTGCCTTTGTCTTTGGTCTGTATGCCAGGTGCTGTGATCATACTGACGTTCCTGTGACATCTACCACCCCCATGTGAGTTTTTCACTGGCCATATTCTCCTCTGGTTCCTGTGAGACTTATTATGGGTTTCTTTAGTTATTTTGTTGACTTGCCCGCAGCCCACACTGACCTCTAGCCCCAGGGTGACATGGCAGCCTCTTGAACCAATGTGGCACATGTTCTTCTGCCCTATTGAGATCAGTGCAATGTTAGAACACATGGCCTTTTGGACAGTACCTTTAGAGCCACTGTTTGTGTCAGCTCTGCTCTGACCTGGTCTCAAATGGTGTTCAACTCTTCACTTCTAACAGGTTGGTGCTGCCTAATGACTGGTCAAACAGGTTCCTGCCTGGTCACCCCACTCAGTTTCTTGGCTGATGTTTCCCAGGGTGTGGGAACATTTCATTCCAGTTAGGGATCTTATGACATCATTCAGTGTGAAATCTGGCTTCCCCGAAGGGCTGTGGAAATACCCTTGGCTAGCAGCTGTGAAATGGAGGACAAGACTACCTTTAAGGCTTTGGGGATTTCACATGGCTTCCCTAGGGGCTTTGTAGAGGACCTAACTCTGCAGGGGCCCAGGATCCATCTTTTCCTTTTGTGTAAGATGCAGGCCAGAAAGCCAGAAGTGTTTCCCAAGAGATGTGTTTATTCTTTTTGCTTCTATGTTTCTAGGGCTGGCCGGCTACAGCCATAGAGCAGATCCAGTGGGCTAGTCACATGGGAGAGACACAAGGTGGAGTGATCCTTGGGTCCCTTCTCACTTACAGCTTGAGAGGGAAGAGAGGACAACAGTTGTTGGTGTAGGGAACCTGCTTCTAGTCAGGTACAGAAGAGTTTGGATCTTCCTCTAAACAGAATACAGTCTTTTATGATGGTTAAGGGATCAGACTCTAAAATAAATGGGCCAGACTGTATACCTTGATTCCACCACTTCCTAGGTGTCAAATAGGGATAAAACTACTAAGTGTATGTACAGAAATTCATATATTTTCTGTGTCTCAGTTTCCTCAATTGAAAATGGAGTTAGTAATAGTATCTTATAGAGTTACTGAATATTAAATCAGTGAATACATGTGAAGCACTTAAAACAATGCTTCATACGTAGGAACTGTTTAATAAGTGTTAGTTGTTACTGTTATTTGAGTTGTGAGGATTAAGTGAAGTAATTTATTTGAAATATGTATCACTGGCCCTATATAACCCTAATAATGTTAATTTAGGGGGAAAAAAAAAGCCTGGCCTCCTCACTTCTAGTGTAACAAAGATGGAATATTTTTCAGAGAAAGGGCAGGACCAAAGTGAGGACACCTCTGTTGTGTGTCTGGTAAGTGAGGGAGAAAGGCAGGCCTGTCTTGGGGTGGGGATGCCTGCATAATGGCAGAGGCTGACAGAGATGCCTGCTCTCTGCCTATTAACATGGTTCTGAGTTGGTGCTGATGCCAGTTTCTCCTCTTTGTAGGTTTTACAAGCTGATCTGGGGGAGCTTTGGCAATGGGCTTCTGGAAGCCTCCGGGGTTATTGCAGGCGGAGGGAACAATGGCATGCTTACTCTATACAATGTGACCCACATCCTGTCTTCGGGGAAGGAGCCTGTGATTGCCCAGAGGCAGAAGCACGCGGGGGCTGTCAGAGCCCTTGACTTTAATCCTTTCCAGGTACTGCATTTCAGTTGGTCAGACATGGCCAAGCCATGGAGTAACAATTCTGTATGGAAACATTCACTTGTGGCCTCCAGTCTGTAACTCTGAGCCCTTCCCAGGCTGTTAGGGGAGAAGCTTTGGAAACCCCACATGTGGGTCTCTTTCCCCCTTTCCTGCTCTCACTTCTTCCTGGGGTGGTGTTTCCCCAAAGACCTGTTCTTCATACAGGGCCACCTCCTGGCCACAGGGGCCAGTGATTCTGAAATCTTCATTTGGGATTTGAATAACCTAAATGTGCCAATGACCCCAGGATCCAAGTCACAGGTAAGGAGGCTCCTAGGGCAGCTGATTTTCCCAGGGAGAATTCTTGAATCCTGGAGGCAGCCAGAGCACAGGAGGTTTTGGACTTTACCACTGGAGGGCAACAAAGCTCCGCAAACGAACACATTTTACCAGCCAGCCATTAGCAGCAATGGAGGGGAGGGTGTGCGTGTGGTGGGGTGGTTTGTGGTCATTAACTGTCCTAGGGTTTCTGGAAGGAAGATGAAGAAGGGCAGTGGGAGGCATTGAGAAAAGAAGTGTGAGTACGATTTATCATAGTAGAGCTCAGGCAGGGTAGAGTAGGACCCTAAGCTCAGGAAGTGGGGCTAAGAGTAGGACACCCAGATATACTCTTGTCCTTTTTGTGAGGTGGGTCAGCTTTGCCTCTGTATCTAGTTCTCCATGCAGTTGGGGTCCTGTGCATATCTGTCTCTGAGTGTACCTACCTGTCAGTCTATAACTGGGTCTGTCTTTTTGCTTCCTGGCTCTTCTCTGTCTTATGCTTACAGTATCGTGAGGTAAGTTAAGTATAAATTTGATAGTACCCTGTGCCCTAAAAATAGCAATGGCTTTTCTTTCTGCCTCATTTTCTCTGAGGGTCTTACGTGTCTGTGTTTCCCTTTCTTCCTCCTCCTCTCCCTCTCTCTCTGTCATAGATAAGAGGCCTGTTTTAAATCTTGACTTTATTCTCTCAGGAGCAACTTGGGATAGGAGTAAAATCCAAGTGTGCCTGCCCTTCTCTCAATTTCTACACCAGTACCCCCAAAGGATCCTCTCTAGAAAATTTAACCCCCGGCTCCCTGATACTATCTGGGTTTGGGAAGCTCATGTCTGCTCTTGGGCTTTCTGTGGGTGGTTGGGAGCAGTGGAACAGCAAATGTCTCTTGGTCCAGGGGATGACAAGTTGTCCTCCACCCCTCCCCCCATCCTGCCACAGCAGCCTCCAGAAGACATCAAAGCACTCGCTTGGAACCGGCAGGTTCAACACATTCTGGCTTCTGCTCACCCCAGCGGCAAGGCAGTTGTGTGGGATCTCAGAAAGAATGAACCTATCATCAAAGTCAGCGATCATAGCAACAGGGTGAGTTCTGGAGGCAGAATGCAGGGTTGGGCTCTGGCTTCTCCCTCATGCCTGGGCTTTGGAGCTGTTCTTCCCCAGGCCAGGGTTCTGCTTTCAGCTGCTACACTTGCAGACTTAGCCTCTTATCAGATTTCCTGTTGAGAGTGAATGCTTAGGGAAGCTAAACAGAGCTGATCTGGAGGCTTCTAATATTCATTACTTACTCATGGTCATCACACAGAAGAGACACAAAACCTGCCCTATTCCAACTGGGTGGAAAAGGTTCATAATCAGAAGAGTCAGGTTACATCACCCTTTGGGGTCTTCTTTGTTCACAGATGCACAGCTCAGGCTTGGCCTGGCACCCAGAGATAGCCACCCAATTGGTGCTCTGCTCAGAAGATGATCGTCTTCCAGTGATTCAGCTGTGGGATTTGCGCTTTGCCTCCTCTCCCCTGAAGGTGCTGGAGAGCCACAGCAGGTAATATCTCAAACTCTGTCTACTTTTTTGGCAGACGGTATGGCATAACTGACCTGGGTAGGAGGCAGTGAATGCCTCACTTTAGTTACCAAACATCCTCCCTGCCTTCAAAGCCATTCCCAGTGAACAGTTTCCCAATCCTAGCTCTAGCCCCAACAAAGAGGAGTTTCTTGAGATGGTAAGGTTGTGGAGAAGAACCTGAGATTCCATTTAACTTCCAGAAATTGGAGTGTGGATGGGGTCATGACAAATATTTGGAGCCAATGTTTAGTCCTCCTGGGAGAGTCCAGGATAATGTTAATCTCTTTAGGTGGTGAGGTTATCTCCTCCAAGACTTCTTTTTTTTTTTTTTTTTTTTTTTTTTTTTTTTTTTTAGTTTCTTTATTTTGAGAGAGAGAAGGGGAGAGAGAGAGGGAGACAGAGAATCCCAAGAAAGCTCCACACTGTCAGCACAGAGCCTGACATGGGGCTTGATCTCACAAACCACAAGATTATGACCTGAGCCAAAACCAAGAGTCAGACGCTTAACTGACTAAGCCACCCAGGCACCCCTAAGACTTTTCAGTAAGAAAACCTTGGCTCCTGTTTATCCTCCAAACAGGCCTGCCCCTGAAGCTGTAACTCTTAGGCCCCTAGCAGAGAAAACAACCCCACACTGTTCTTTCTTACTAAAGGTCTATGTTGCTTTTATGCCTTCTTGGGGACTTTTAAGAGTTAGATCCTCACTCCTCACATGGGCTAAAAAGCACACATAGGGATGGGTGCTTGAGTGACTCATGCTGATTCACAGTCCCTACTCTACAGTCAGGGAAGAGAAGCGGGCCATCCTGCAGGGAACTGTGAGAGGCAGAATGATACAGTGCATAGTGCCCAGGCTCTGGGGTTTGACGTGTCCTGGCTGTATGGCTGCTGAAGGTTCCTTAATTTTTCAAAGCCTCCTTTTCCTACTTTGTAAAATGAAATCAGGCCACTCATTTTATAGGGATGAGATATATCCAAGATATGTATGACACTCTACTCCTAGTGGTCATTCAACAAATGTTAGTTCCTCTTTCCTTTCCTTTTTAGGGGGATCTTGTCAGTGTCGTGGAGCCAGGCTGACCCTGAGCTGCTGCTCAGTAGTGCCAAGGACAACCAGATCTTGTGCTGGAACCTGGGGAGTGGTGAGGTAGGCCGGCCTTTCTGTGGGCATGCTGGGAGAGGAGATGAGCTGTGTGTTCTGCATTGTTTTACCTAAGTCAAGGTGTCCCTAATGGTTGGGTTCCTTCACAGGTAGTATATAAGCTACCCACACAGAGTAGCTGGTGCTTTGATGTGCAGTGGTGCCCTCGGGACCCTCCAGTGTTCTCTGCTGCCTCCTTTGACGGCTGGATCAGTTTGTACTCCGTGATGGGTAGGAGCTGGGAAGTCCAGCAGATCAGACAGGCTGACAAGGTTTGAAGGGCTTGGTGGAGAATGCTGGAGGGAATGCTATCTCTATGTTGGGGGAGAGAGAAGGACGAATGGCCTGGGAAGAAGTGGGGACTATTGGAGACTGGGAAGCCAGGGGCCTGGGTTGGGAGGGCTGCACCTTTGCTCTAGTGCCCATCTTCCTGGGAGGATGTCAATTTCTGCCACAATACAAAAGAGGCCTTCACCTTGACGCTTGCTCTTGGATGTTCTCTGTGGTATTTCGGGGACACTGGACCTCTATGGTGGAATCGTTATTTTGGAAGTGCCTTATCTCCCTTTCTCCTATAGATCTGTTCTGTGTCTACACTCCACTGTAGACCTTGGATACAGTAGGCTTTCCAAGAGCCTACCGCATGGGAGTTTTACTCTCACTACCAGTTCCCTAGAAAATGGGAGTCTAGCCTTTGTGGGCCAGATTGGATGTTTCAAGGATTTCCCCCAAACTTGTAGATGCAGCACCACTTCAAGTTGGTGTCCTTTTGCCCTCAGATCTCTTCTTCCTTCAGCAAAGGCCAGCCTCTCCCACCATTGCAGGTGCCAGAGCAAGTGGCCCAAGCATCATTGGTATCAATGATACCTCCTCTAAAAAAACCCCCCAAATGGATGAGAAGGCCAGCAGGTGTTTCATTTGCTGTAAGTGTAGTGTGTGTGTGTGTGGGGGGGGGGGGGGGGTGGCTAGTGCATGGTTGTATGTGTGTATGTGTTTGTGAAGCCTGTTGCGTGCCCAGCACGGAGCTGTGTTCTGTAGGAGATTCATTCCTACTGCCTGTGTCTCAGATCAGGTCCCACCTTCATGCTCAGGCAGAATTACTGTAGCTTTCCTTTCTACCCCTTCGCCTAGCGTACTGTGCTGGTCCTGTCTAAAGGGAATTGAGCGCTTTAGACTGCTCGGTTATGGAGAACTGCTTGAGATTCCACCTGATCTTTCTCTAACTCTTACGTGTTTGGACTGGTAGTGAGTCCAGACATGTAAGGGTTAGAATACAAAGCAGGAAAGAAAAAAATGTAGATTCCATCCTGTCCCTCCTCTGCTCAAAACCTTTGGCCCCCATTGTCTTATGGACTCAAGGCCAAATGTACACAGGGCCGCACTTACCTTTCCAGTTTTTATTCCCCCTTATTCTTATGTGTTTCATGTGCTCCAGTTATATATGACTCCTTTCTGTTCCACAAATAACTCCTCAGCTTTGCTGCTTTTGCCTGTACCCTGCCCTTCAACTTCTCTCCTGAGCCATTGAATCCTACCGTACCTTTTCATGTTCTTTTGCTTAAATACCACCCCCTCCATGATGTCCATCTTTAAACCCTTGTCAGACTTCACTTTGAGGATTTATCCTCCTATAATGATACACTTTACTTGGACTAAGGTTATTTACATACTCGGGTGGAGACCCTACTAAGTAATGGACTCCTGGAGGATAGGGACCGCATTTTGTTCATTTTTATCCCTAAAGCAAGTGCTACTCAAACTTTAATACACATACAGATCACCTGGAGATCTTACTAAAATTCAGATTCTGGTTCCTTTAGTCTAGGGTAGGACCCAAGATTCTGATTTCCAGTAAGTTCCCAGGTGATTCCCTTGCTGCTGGCCTGAGGAGAGGCAGGGCCCTAAAGCACTAGTTTAACCTAATGCTTTAAATATTAGGTGTCATTTAAAAACAGATGTATCGAAGAAGTGATTCTTCTGTGCAGAGCCACCAGTTTTATTGTGGAGGCAAGACCAACACACTCAAGAGGCAGGGAGGTGAAGAATTCTGATGTTGAAAGACCTACATTTCTTCATTTGTTTTGTTTATTGATTTCAGGAGATAATTCTGTGTTTAATTGTTGAGGACTCACCATACCATTTTCCACAGCAGCTGCACAATTTAATATTTCCAACAATGCCTAGGAGTTTCATTTTCTCTGAATTAGCCCCAATACTTATTTAAAACCTTTTTTTAAAAGTTTTTATTTATTTATTTTGAGAGAGACAGAGAGAGAGAGAGAGAGAGAGAGAGAGAGTAGGGAAGGGACAGAGATAGGGGGAGAGAGAGAATCCCAAGCAGGCTCTGTGCCATCAGTTCAGAACCTAATGCGGGGCTTGAACTCATGAACTGTGAGATCATGACCTGAGCTGAGATCAAGAGTCGGACTCTTAGCCACCTGAGCCACCCAGGCACCCCTCTGCCTTTTTTAATTGAAGTATAGCTGACACACAATGTTACATTAGTTTCAGGAGTACAACATAGCGATTCAGCAGATTTATACGTTCCGCTACGTTCACAAGTGTAGCTACCATGGGTCACCATACAGTGCTATTATAGTACCATTGGCTGTATTTCCTATACTGTACCATGACTTATTCATTGCATAACTAGAAACAGGTACCTCCCACTCCCCTTCAACCATTTGCCTGGCCTCTCTCCTAACCCTCCCCTTTGGCGGCCACTGGCTTGTTCTCTGTATTTCTGGGTCTGTCTGGAGAGGCCTGCATTCTTTTTTTTTTTTAACTTGTTTTATTTTTTATTTTTTAAAATTTACACCTTAAATTAGTTGTATATAATTTAACAATATTTCAAGGAATTAGATTGTAATGCCCCTTACCATTTTAGACTGGCATCCCCCCCCTCCCACAGCCCCTCAGTAACCCTCAAGTTTGTTCTCCGTGTTATGGGTCTCTTCTGTTTTATGCGCCCTCCCTGTTTTTTTATATTATTGCCTTCCCTTGTGTTCATCTGTTTGTCTCTTAAAGTCCTCATATGGAAGGTGGGATCATATGATTTTTGTCTTTCTCGACTGACTAGTTTCAGTTAATAATACCCTCAGGTCCATCTATAGTTGCAAATGTAGATTTCATTCTTTTTTGATTGCCAAAATAATACTCCATTGTGTGTGTGTGTGTGTGTGTGTGTGTGTGTGTGTGTGTGTATACACACCACATCTTCTTTATCCATTCACCCATCCAGACATTTAGGCTCTTTCCATACTTTGGCTGGTGTGATAGTACTTGCTGTAAACATGAGGGTGCATGTGTCCCTTGAAACAGCACCCCGCCTGTATCCTGGATAAATCCCTTGGATGAATTACGAATTGCTGGAGTCATAGGGTAGTTCTGTTTTTTTTAGTTTTTGAGGAACCTCTCCATACTGTTTTTCCAGAGTGGCAGCACCAGCTTGCATTCCACCAACAATGCAAAGAGATCCTCTTTCTCGCATCCCCTCACCAACATCTATGCGTTGCCTGGAGTTGTTAATGTTAGCCATTCTGACAGGTGTGAGGGTGGTATCTCCACTGTGTTTTTGATTTATCTATTTCCCCTGATGATAAATGATGTGGAGCATTTTTTTTTCATGTGGATGGCTATTTGGATGTCTTCTTTGGAGAGTGTCTATTAGTGTCTTTTGCCCATTTCTTCACTGGATTGTTTTTTTGGGTGTTGAGTTTGATAAGTTCTTGTAGATTTTGGATACTAACCTTTATCTGATACTTGCAAATATCTTCTCCCATTCTGTCAGTTGCCTTTTAGTTTTATTTCCTTTGCTGTGCAGAAGCTTTCATTTTGATGAGGTCCCAGTAGTTCATTTTTTTGCTTTGTTCCCTTGCCTCTGGGCGATGTTAAGTAACAAGTTGCTGTGGCCAAGGTCAAAGAGGTTTTGCCTGCTTTCTCCTCGAGGATTTTGATGGCTTCCTGTCTTGTTTAGGTCTTTCATCCATTTTGAGTTTATTTTTGTGTATGGTGTAAGAAAATGGTCCAGGTTCATTTTCTTCATGTTGTTGTCCAGGTTTCAGCACCATGCTGAAGGAGACTGTCTTTATTCATTGGATATTCTTTCCTGCTTTCATCAAGATTAGTTGAGCCGCTCGTTTGTAGGTCCGTTCGTTCTATTCTGTTCCATTGATCTAGTGTCTCATTCTTGTGTGCCAGTACCGTACTGTCTTGATGATTACAGCTTTGCTTAGTATAGCTTGAAGTCTGGCCGTGCCTCCTGCTTTTCGTTTTCTTTTTTCCGCGATCACTTTATTATTGGGGGTCTTTTCTGGTTCATACAAATTTAGGGTTGTTTGTTTCTAGCTCTGTGAAGAATGCTGGTGTTATTTTTGATAAGTTGCATTGAATATGTAGGTGTTTTGGGTGAAATATGGACATTTTAACAATATTTGTTCTTCCTGCCCAGGAGCATGGAATCTTTTCCATTTTCTTTGTGTCTTCTTCAATTTCTTTCATAAGCTTTCTGGTTTTCAGTGTATAGATTTTCACCTCTTTGGTTAGATTTATTCCTAGGTATTTTATGTTTTTTTGTGCAACTGTAAATGGGATTGATCCTGATTTCCTCTTTCTGTAAGCTTCATTTTGGTGTATGGAATACAACCGATTTCTAACCATTACAATTTTATATCCTGCAACTTTGCAGATTCATGAATCAATTCTAGCAGTTTTTTTTGGTGGAATCGTTGTTCTATAGAGTATCATGTCTTTGAAGAGTGAAAGATTTGACCTCCTCCTGGCGATTTGGATTATTTTTATTTCTTTTGTGTTGTCTGATTGCAGAGTAAGACTGTACTATGTTGAATAACAGTAGCAGAGTGGACATCTCTGTCTTATTTCTGACCTTAGGGGGGGAAGCTCTCAGTTTTCCCATTAAAGGGATGATATTAGTGTGGGTCATTCCTTATACCAAGCTTTATGATCTTGAGGTATGCTTCTTCATATCCCTACTTTCTTGAAGTTTTATCAAGAAAAGGATGCTGTATTTTATCCAAATGCTTTCTCTGCATCTATTAGGAAGGATCATATGGTTCTTGTCCTTTCTTTTGTGCGGTAGATCCGTTGATTGTTTCTCGGATATTGAACCAGCCCTTGTATCCCATGTATAAATCCCAGTTTGTGGTGAATAATTTTTTTTTTTAATGTATTGTTGGTTGGCTAATATCTTTTGATTTTGCATCCATGTTCATCAGGAAGTGGTCTATAGTTCTTTTTTAGTGGGGTCTCTGTCTGGTTTTGGAATCAAGGTAATTCTGGCTTCATAGGAAGAGTTTGGAAGTGTTCCTTCCATTTCTATTTTGGAACACCTTGAAAGTGGGTGTTAACTCTTCGCAAATGTTTGATAGAATTCCCTGGAAAATACATCAGCCCCTGGGCCGGCTTATTTTTTTTGGGAGATTTTTTTGATTATAATTTGATTTCCTTACTGGTTATGGGTCTGTTCAAATTTTCTATTTCATCTTGTTTCACTTTTGTTGTGTATATGTTTCTAGAATTTGTCCATTTCTTCCAAGATTGCCCATTTTATTGGCATATAATTTACTCATAATATTCTCTTATTATTGTTTTTATTTCTGCTGTGTTAGTTTGTGATCTTTCATTTCTTGGTTTATTTATTTGGCTCCTTTTTTTCTTTTTGATCAAACTGGCTGATGGTTTATCAATTTTGTTAATGCTTTCAAGAACCAGCCTGGTTTCATTAATCATTCTACTTTTTTTTTGGTTTCAATAGCATTAATTTCTGCTCTAATCTTTATTATTTCCGCTGTCTTCTGCTGTGGTTTTGGGTTTTGATTTCGCTGTTCTTTTTTCCTGCTCCTTAAGGCGTAAAGGTTGTATGTCAGATCTTTCTTCCCTCTTTAAGAAGGCCTGGATTGCTATATACTTTCTTATGACCCACCTTTGCTGGAGTCCCCAGAGGTTTAGGGTTGTTGGTGTTATCCATTTTCGGTAGCTGCCTTTTGTTTCCTCTTTAATAACTTGGTTGGCCCATTCATTCTTTAGTAGGATGTTCTTCAGTCTCAAGTATTTGTTACCTTTTCCAAATTTTTTTCTTGTGGTTGATTTGAGTTTCATGGTGTTTGTGAATATACTACGGTATGATCTCGATCTTTTTTTATGCAGGGTAGTTGTGTCCCAGTATATGGTCTATTTCTGGAGAGCGTTCCATATTACTGGAGAAGAATGTATATTCTGCGCTTTGGGATAGAGAAATGTTCTGATATGTCTGTTAAGTCCATCTGGTCAGTGTGTCATTTCAGCCATTTGTTCCTTGTTGATTTTTGATTAGATGATCTGTCCATTGCTGTCGGTGGGGTGTTGAAGTCTCCTACTATTGGTATTACTATCAATGAGTTTCTTTATGTTGGTTAATTGATTTATATATTTGGGCTTCCGCCATTTGGCACATAAATATTTACAATTGTTAGCTCTTCTGGGGTGGATGGAGCCCTTGAGTATGATATAATGCCCTTCACCATCTCTTGATACAATCTTTTATTTTAGAAGTCTAGATTGTCTGATATAAATTATATTTCTCTGGCTTTCTTTGTTGACCATTATTTGATAAGGTGGTTCTCCATCCCCTTATTTTCAAATCACAGAAGGTGTCTTTAGGTCTAAAGTGGGTCTCTTGTAAAGCAACATAGATGGATCTTGTTTTCTTATCCATTCTGTTACCCTATGTCTTTTGGTCGGAGCATTGAGTTCGTGGCGTTAGAAGTGAGTGTGTGTATATATATATATACATATATATATATATATATACACATATATACATACATACATACATACACATACACACACACACAGAGTCCCCCTTAAAATTTCTTGCAGGGCTGGTTTAGTGGTCACAAATTCCTTTAATTTTTTTGTTTTATGCATTTTATCTTTTCCTATTTTGAATGACAGCCTTGCTGGATAAAGCTGCATATTTTCTGATTCTTTATTAGTATATCACGCCACTCCTCTGGCCTACCAAGGATTTCTGTGGATCGGTCACTGCCAGAGCCTGATCACCTGTCTTCCTTGTGGATTGAGGGATTTTTTTTCCCTTGCTGCTTTCATGATTCTGGAGAGGTCTGCATTCTTATCATAGCTCGGTCACTTATTAGCTGGGTAACCTTGGGCAAGTCACTTAACTCAAGACTTCAGTATTCTCATTTGTACAACAGGGATAGTAATACCTGCTCAGCTATATGTTAGTGCATTGACATGAACCTCAAATAAGCATATATACAAGCACTTTGTAAAACTATCAAGTATTAACAAGTCAAAAGTTAAAATTGTTCTGTGTAGCACTAATCTATAGTGTAGGTTTGTGCTGTAGGAGAGTCAAGTGGAGAATTTTGGCTGGGAAAGTCCATTAAGGCAGGGGTCTTAGGAAAATAGTGAAGAGTTGGGGAGTAAGCAGTAGTTGTCAACCATGGCTGCAACCTGAAGAGCGTGAAAATATACTGATGCCTGGTCCCACCCCCTGGGATTCAGATTTTATTGTTGGGAGTACAACCTGATGATGACTCTGGATAGCTCCTCAAGTGGTTTTAATATGCAGCCAAGGTGGAGAACCGCTGGAGTAAAGGAACTTCACTGAGCTCTGCTTTGTGACAGGTGCTTTATGTAGGGTACCTAATTTGGTGAGAAGGATTCTCAGTTGGGGGTGTTTTGGTGGGTGAAGGCTCAGAAGCAGGAATAAACTGGGCCCTTTGGGGATGTGGAGCGATCACATAAATGAGGAGGGAGAGAGAGGCTAGAGTGTCTGGCCCTGATCTTGGAGGATTTTGTATGCTATGGGCAGAGGTACTTAAGCCCTCGTCTGAGGCCTTGTGAAACCGTAACAAGCCCCTAAGTAGCAGTAGGTACAGGCCAGTAGTCTAAGGCTTGGGTTGAGGAGGAAAAACCCAGAGGCTAGCAACCAATTCCAGTCATCTAGATGTGCTAGCACTGGGAGTGGGATGGAGGGGACCTGCATGGGAGACATTGAGCAAGAGGTAAGACTGCTGTTGCTTGGCTGTGGTGGGTATAAAGACCGTGATGAAGCCAAGGTGTTTAGTGCAGGTGACTGGGAGAATGGTGCTCCCCGCATTATTACTGATTTTCTATCCTAGGGTTGACCAATAGATAGCCTTCTCTGTGATGTAGACTTGGTGTTAATTTTTTACCATTCTTGTTTTTCCTCACCAGTTTGGGGGAAAGCTGGTTACCTTTGGCCTCCCCAGCACCCCTGCCCATCAGGTGCCACAGCTTTGCCTCCGCCTAGTCTTCGTCAGTCAAGTCACCACAGAATCTGAATTTCTGAGGCGGTCAGCTGAACTGCAGGAGTCCCTGGGGTCAGGAAATCTCCTGAATTATTGTCAGAACAAGATCGAACTAACGTCACTACAAAGTGAAAAGATGCTCTGGCAGTTCCTGAAGGTAGGAAGCCCAAAGGCTGGCTGCTCCAAAGTGTTTCCCTAAAGTGGGAAATTCCAGGAGATGCACAATCACACTGGGACCTAGATTACAAAGGCTCTGACCTCTCAGCCTTTTTCCTAATGCCACACCCACCCTCTGGACACGAAATCTTCACCTTTTGCCAGTGGCTCAGAGATCCTTTGCAGCCAAGGAAGCCAAAGGGTACAAAAACATTTGCCTTTTTTGCTACTATTGCTGATGTCCTGGAGACTTTACCAGGGCCAAGGTGAAGGCTTTCATGCCATGCCAAAGGGCAGATAAGGTGATGGGAAGAGAGAAGAAGAGAAGGAAAAGGAAGGAAAGAGGATTGGCTGGAAGTGGGGAACGCATCATGAGAAGGCTTTGAGTTTATTTCCGTTAACCCAAGGCAAGTTGTTGTGGTGAGACTCAGGGATCAAGTCCCAATTTACTCTGGAGCATGGATCGAGTTCCAGTGCTAATGAAATTTCAAGCTGCTTATGACACCAGGAGTGCTCTACCTGTGAAAGGAAGTGAGCAGATGAGAGGAGAGAGGTAAAGCAAGAAAAAGAAGTAACCGACTGGGCAGGCAGCGAGAGGATTATTCAAAGCTTTGGGGCCGTAGCAAAGATTGCAAAAAACAGGACAGACCCCAGCCCGGGGTTCTGAGCAAGGCTTGGGGTCTGTGTTTCAGACACAGAAGAACTTTGTGATGGTAGTCACCAGGTATCTGGGAAGGAGACAGGATTTGAGAAAGATCATCTATAGAGTGAAGCTAGAAAAAGATGTGGGGAGAAAAGAGTAAGAAATGCTGCTTTTGTTGTAAGCAGAATGCAGGCAACAGCTCCAGGAATGACTGGTGGAGTGAGAAAGAGAATAGAAGGCACCATCAGTAGTTGAACCTTTACTCTTCCAAACAAAGGAGGCAGCAGTGCCCAAGGACAGAGGGGAGTCTGTTTGAAAAGCTATCCAAGAGCTGTCTGTGATGATGGCCCTGAAACCGAATGTGGCTGGACATTTCTAAAGGACAAGCGTGGGAGAAAGAGGGAGCCCTGAGACACTGTGAGGAAGATATTAGTCAGAATTCACAGTTCTGTGTAGGGGAAATGAAGGGCCCAGCCATCTAACTCAGGTTAGGGTAGGGCTTCAGGAAGGCTTGTCCCTCAGTATCTGGCTTTTACTGTATCTATGCAGCTTCCACTAGGAACTGTGTTTTCAACTGGATGTTTAGACACGCACAAGGCTCTCTAGGTTCTCTTGGCATCAGTCTCAGAGAGCTGTGGGACAGGACCCACAGCTTGTCAGCCGGGCAGCAGGTTGTGGCTGTCTTCTTTGGGAGCCCTTGTGGCAGGCCATGCAGCAGTTCAGAGCTCTCCTCTTTACCTCCCCAGAAGACAGCTCAGGTGTAAGGAGATTAGATAAAAAATTAGGCAGTTGTGGAGGTGGCTCTGCCTTAGAAGCCTAACGCCCACAAGAGCCAATGTCTCTTGTACCCACACCAAAAATGTAGTTTCTAGAGTCCCTGCAAGAGATCTCTTCAGTTACAAGAGCCCTTGCAATCAGGGCAGACTAGAGCATGGTGTCCACAGAGATTATTTATAGTTTATAGTTCCAGTCCAATTTATCAGTCACAAGCAATGTTGCCTAGAAACATAGCTGACGTTTTACTCTTATCAGGTAACCAGGCCAACAGATCTAGTAAGTCAACTGAAGGTCTCATTCTCATGCAGAAATGGAAGAGGGTTTTGTTAACACCATGCCACCAGCCCAGCGGGATCAAATCTGGGGAGAAAAAGAGGAGAGATGGTGCCAGCCTTAGTAGGGCACCTCTGGTAGGACAAAGAACTGTATTAGAGGGTACGCCGGCTTAGGCAGGAGAGGGTCATTCACATTGGTTTAATGGAGACTTGTGTATTCTGTGGTTCCTTAGGTGACCTTAGAACAAGACTCCAGAGTGAAATTTCTAAAACTATTAGGATACAGTAAAGATGAACTTCAGAAGAAGGTAAGCTGCTCACACATCAGAAGCATGTACTTGAGGCAGAGAAGAAGAAAATGCTGTCAATGGAAACTGTCTTGAGTAACCTCTTTGTGGGCTTCGTTAATGCATATACAAAAATATTACCTCCTGGAGGTCAGCTTTTCCCCAGGTGAAAAGCCCCAGGATCTTAGAGAGTCTAGGCAGTAGGGTGTGGAGGTGGGAAGAAAGCATAATGCATGTCTGATCTTGTGCCGGGAAGAGGGCGCTCATAGGTCTCTCCCTGCAGGTGGCCACGTGGCTGAAGAGTGACTTGGGGCTGGGTGAGAGCCCTCAGTCCGAGGGAGATGATCACAGTAACAGACAGCAGGTCTTCTGCAGCCAGGTGTGGTAGGAGCCCAGGCAGCCAGACCTAGGGTAGCACGGGAGACTTGCCTGTAGAGCATCTGCCTCTTCCTGGCCCTTTGCTTTGCTCTCATGAATTGCTCAGCTTCTGTAGAAGTCTTCAGACTCCTCATATTTTTAGAACCGCAGTGAGATACAGAGTGCATAAGCTTTTGCGCTGGGAGAGAAGCTATGTTTTAACCATGGATTAGAGCCCTTCCCAAACCTTACCTGATTATTCTTTTAGCTTTACCCATTAAGGGCCAAACAGTAGAGCTTCCAGAGAGAGTCACTAAGGCATCTGTCTGTTTTGGGATTCATTTCCTAAGTACCCACCTCTGTCCTTCCTTGTACAGGCCTCAAAACACATCACAGAGGAAGCTTCTGCCTCCTCAACCTTCTTTGATGAGCTGGTCCCTCAGAGTATGACTCCATGGGAGATCCCCATCACAGAAGGTACCCCGATCCTGAGGGAGAGAAACCCTCTGTGTTGCAGTAGGTGGGCTCAGAGTTCTGGGACTTGAGAATATTTTCTTCTTGTCCCCTGCCTCCTATCTCCTGCCTCCTTCCCACCACACAAAAGCTGGGCAGTTCTGTTACTGGTTAGAGCTCTCTCTGGATTTTCATGGCTGCACCTTTCCTCTGGAAGGCCTTTTAGCAAGATATTTCTTTCTATCCTTCTGTTTCCTTGCTTAAAAGACTGTACCCTGTCCTTGCCGAGTGAGCGCACACTATACCTCTGATGCTGCCACATGAAGCCCTCCTTCCTCTTGAGCCCTATCCTTAGAGAGTTACCTACCACCAGACCTGGCACTCTAGGACAGCCCACTACATTTTATTGTTGAGGAATGAAACTTGGGAGTTTTGTTTGGGGCAAGGGAGGCTGAGTGGTACAGAGGTGGAAGGGGTGCACTGTGGGCCCTGCAGGGGACAGGAAGCTAGGGTCTGAGGGCAGACTCACATGGAGGGGATGCCTCTGCCTGCAGACACTGATGGACTCCTGAGCCAGGCTCTCCTGCTTGGAGAACTGGGCCCTGCTGTGGAGCTGTGTCTAAAGGAAGAGCGCTTTGCTGATGCCATCATCCTGGCCCAGGCTGGGGGTGCAGATCTGCTAAAGCAAACACAGGAGTGCTACTGGGCCAAGAAGAAAAGCAGAATCTCCTCGGTAACTGCCCACTGTGAAGGAGGGGAGGGGAGGGGATTACTTGGACTTTGTCAGGTGGATGCCCACACCTTGGCGTTCAGAAGATCTGCCGGGATCCCTCTCTTCCAACTGCAACCACCCCTACCTCACCCCCAACCCCTAGTCAGTGGTCTAAGAGGAAACCTGCTTGCGAGTGGCTTTTCTTAGCATGTCCCTGTGTGTGACTCCTGCTGCCTGTGCTAGATGGATGGCTGATGGCCTCCTTCGCTCTCTGCCCACTACAGCTTCTAGCCTGTGTTGTACGGAAGAATTGGAAGGATATGGTGTGTACCTGTAGCCTGCAGAACTGGAGAGAGGCACTGGCCTTGCTACTGACATACTCAGGGCCAGAGAAATTCCCTGAGCTCTGTGGTAGGTAGCCCTAGGCTTCGGGATGGAGTGGTGTCACTCCAACATGGAGTTAATGGACACACTGAGGGAGAAGGCAGAGGAGCAGCCTGAGCTCTGGGAGGCTAGGCCATGTTGTCAGGGCCAAGGTCTGGTTCAGCCAGGAGGCAAGGACTACAGTGCATCTTCCTACTTTCAGTAGGGATCATTAGTTGTTCTGTTTTACTTTTTCTCATCACATCGTGATGCAAGAGTTCTGCCCTTTATTGTAGAGCAAGGTTGGCCTCAGTATTGTCCAAAGCCACTGTGGTCACTTGTCCCACAGCTCATGGTCCTCCACCTATTTCCAAACAGGAGAATGAGGAGAAGCACAGGGAAGCTGTGCCATTAAAGAAATTTCCATCTTGGGGCACCTGGGTGGCTCAGTCGGTTAAGCATCCGACTTCGGCTCAGGTCATGATCTCGCGGTCCGTGAGTTTGAGCCCCACGTCAGGCTCTGTGCTGACGCTCAGAGCCTGGAGCCTGTTTCAGATTCTATGTCTCCCTCTCTCTCTGACCCTCCCCCATTCATGCTGTCTCTCCCTGTCTCAAAAATAAACGTGAAAAAAAAATTTTTAAAAATTTCCATCTCTCTGCAGACATGCTGGGTATGCGCATGGAACAGGAGGGTGGCAGAGCACTGACCTCTGAAGCCAGACTCTGTTATGTGTGCTCAGGGAATGTGGAGCAGCTGGTGGAGTGTTGGGCAAAATGCCACCAGGCTTCATCCCCCCTGGCTCTACAGGTACTCCTTCTCTACAGGGCACTGGTCACTCCATACCAGGATCTTGGGAGAGGCTAGTGGTAGGGATGTGTAGGGACATCAGAGGCGAGTCTTCTGTGTACCCCAGGCTGGAATCAGGGATATTAGGGAGGAGAAAAGGGCCCTTCTCCCAGGGATGAGCCAGCACCTCCCTCCCCCCTTCTCAGTCAGGGGAGACTGAGCAATAAATAGCTGCTTAGGTATTAACCTTCCTAATTTTTTCCCACTTCAGGTTTGGTTAATATGAGTTTATTCTCTATCTGAGTAATTGTGAGCCTGGGCCTTCTCTTAGCTGCTCTGAAAAGTTCTGTGGATTTAAATTATACCAGACACCTTGCAGGTAACCAGAGAAGGTGGGAGTCACAGATTCATAGGAAGACAAAGTCACAGATGAAACAGTAGCATACCAGAGCCTGAAATTGATGATGTACTAACAGAGTAAAGAGTAAAGAGAGCAAACAAAGAGGCAGAGATGTACAAGAGTCTAAGACCCAGATAGGCCCAGTTGAAGTTAGTGCTAACACCAATGGCCCTTCTCTAACTAGATGTATCGTCACCTACTATCTGTAGCTGGCTATGGCCAAGTACCCTCATACCCATAATGGGAAGTCCCTGGGTGAACTGCCTAGGCTTAGAGAGCAGGATGCGCTTTGAAGAGGCCTGACTGTCTTGTCTTTGTTCCTATAGGACCTGATGGAGAAGGTGATGGTCCTGAATAGGAGCTTGGAGCTATTGCGGGGTCCTGATGGGGTGAGCTCAGGCCCTGCCACAACCTACAGGGTCACTCAGTATGCCAACCTCCTGGCAGCCCAGGGCAGCCTGGCCACTGCCATGAGCTACCTACCCAGGGACTGTACTCAGGTGAGTGGGGCCATGTAGAGAGAGCAAGCCATTTCAGTCATCTACCACTGGCTGAGCACTTCCACGTTCCAGGCACTATGCAAAACATGGACGTTCTGGGATAGATAATACCTAGTCCCTCAGGAAGCTCACAGTTCCTTGGGGGAAATCAGTTGTCAGTAACTTACAGTGTCACAACAGAAGCTTATACTAAGTGCTGTGGGACTCCAGGAAAGGGGCTGGTTTTGCCCAGAGTAATCAAGGAAGGCTTTCCAGTGGTTAAAACAGTTGAGCTGGACCTTCAAAGAGAAGTAGCTTACCAGCAGATGTAGAGCATTCTAGGCAGAAGGAACAGAAAGGAAGGAGGCTTGGCAGGGATTGGGAACCTTTGAATTATCTAAGGTGGCTGAAGTGTAGAAATAAACTGAAGTTTGAATGCTGTATGGGGCCAGGCTTGTAAGAGAGGACATTTGCTTGTTTTAATTTTAATTAACACAGTTCTTCATTGTCATAACTTTTATAGCCACCAATTCAGCAGCTGAGAGATCGGCTTTTTCATGCCCAGGGGTCTGGTGTCATGGGCCAACAGTGTCCTCCTTTTCCCTTCCCCCGGGTTGTTGTGGGGGCTACCCCCCACTCTAAAGAAGCATCATCTTACAGATTGGGATTCCAGTTTTCTCACCAGGTAAGACCTGGTTTGTTCATTCATTCAAAAATATTTATCAAATGTCTACCAAGTACCAGGCATGGTTCTAGGCAGTTAGAATATATTAGGGAACAAAAATGATGAAAATTCCCAACTAAAGCATAGATCGAGTTATTTTTCTAATAACTGCTTATTGAACAACTATTAGGTTCTTAGAACAGAAAGGTGGCCAAACTATGATTCATGCCCCTAATTAGCTCCTAATCATAAATGTCATAATTGCGGTATGATAAGGTGCCATGGGATCCCACAGAAGAAAGCAACTTTTGGGGGGAGCAGGGGAAGTTTAGGGAATGTTTCAGAATGAGTATGATGTTTGATCTGAATCTTGAAAATTAAAAGTTATTAGGCAAGGGGGGGCACCTGGGTGGCTCAGCCAGTTAAGCATCTGACTTCAGCTCAGGTCATGATCTCACAGTTTGTGAGTTCAAGCCTTGTGTTGGGCTCTGTGTTGACAGCTCAGAGCCTGGAGCCCACTTTGGATTCTGTGTCTCCCTCTCTCTGTTCCTCCCCCATTCACACTCTGTCTTTCTCTCTCTCTCAAAAATAAATAAAGATTAAAAAAAATTTTTTTAAGTTATTTAGGCAAAGGAAGGGGTCAGTGAAAACTCTTTTTTTTTTTAAGTTTTTTTTTCTTCATTTTGAGAGAGAGAGCGAGAGCGAGCATACAAGCAGGAGAGAGACAGAGACAGAGGGAGAGAGAGAATCCCAAGAAGGCTCTGTGCTGTCAGGACAGAGCTTGACCTGGGGGTCGATGTCACAAATGGTGAGATCGTGACCTGACATGAAATCAAGAGTCAGACGCTTAACCTACTGAGCCACCCAGGTGCCCTGGTGAAGGCTATTTCAAGCAGTGGGAACAGCATGTATGAAAGCATTGAAGGGAGAGTAAGCAAAGCCCACTTGAGGAATTACTAATATTTTAATGAAACTGCTAAATAGTTGTTTGTGGCAGAGGAGTGAGGTTAGGTGAAGTTTGAGTAACAGGTAGGCAATAAATCAGGAAGGGCATGGAATTCTGTGCTAAAGATCTTAGACCTGACCCTGAAATTGATAGCAGTTAGGAGCTATTGAATGGTCTTATGCAGGGCAATGGCTAGCCATTAGTTTAGAAAGGAGGCATCTAGGAGGCAATAGCAAGAAATGATGAGGAAATGAAATGATCTAAAGCTGGAGAGTGAGGTTAGCTTTAAAATATTTAATAGGTAGAATTGGCAGAAATTAGTGATGGTTTAGAGGAGTCCGTGAAGTTGGGGAACTAACTCCCAGGTTCCTGGCCACTGTGCCCAGATGGTTTGGGTGCTGTTAACTTATACCAGGAGCCTACTGGAAGGGCTGGGGAACAAAATCCAGCAAGATTGCAAATAGAGGTATTAGGCAGAAGCTCTGATGATTCATCCTGTCCCACCTTCAATTCTCACCCTAATTTTCTTTCTTCCTTCCCCCTTCTTTCCCCTCTGTCCTCTTCCTTCTCCTACTCTGTCTCTCTTTCTCTGTCTCTCCCCCTCTTCCACTCTCCTTTCTATTTTGAAATAATTGTAGATTCCCAGGAAGTTGCAAAGAAATGTACTGGGAAGTTTCATGTAGCACATCCCCACCCCACGTCATGCTAGTCACACATGACTATAGCACAATATCAAAACTAAGAAACTTATATTAATACAATCCATAGATTCAGATTTCACCGATTTTATATGTACTCGTGTGTGTGTGTGTGTGTGCGTGTGTAACTATGTAAGAATTTGTCTTCATTTTTTAAACAGGGTCCTTCACAGAGCAAAAATTTTTAATTTTATAAGGTCCAGTTTACAGATTTCCTTCTATGGATCATGACCTTTGTGTCAAGTCTGAGAACTCTTTGCCAGTCCAAGGTCCTCTAGAGTTTTCCTGTGTTCTTTCTAAAAGTTTTAGTTTTATGTTTTACATTTAAGTCCATGTTCCATTTGGAATTAATTTTTGCATGTGACATGAAGTATAGTCAAGCTTCTTTTTTTTTTTTTTGCCAATGGATATCCATAATCATTTATTGAGAAGTCTGTCTCTACTCCATTGAATTGACTTTGCTCCTTTGCCAAAAATTAACTGGCGAGTGCCTGGGTGGGCTCAGTTGGTTAAGCGTCCAACTCTTGGTTTCAGCTCAGGTCATGATCTCATGGTTTCGTGAGTTTGAGCCCCACATCGGGCTCCATGCTGGCAGTGTGAAGCCTACTTGGGATTTTCTCTCTCTCCCTCTCTCTGTCCCTCCCTTGCTTACGCTGGGAGACTTAAAATAAATAGACTTTAAAATAATTAACTGGATGGGGCGCCTGGGTGGCGCAGTCGGTTAAGCGTCCGACTTCAGCCAGGTCACGATCTCGCGGTCCGGGAGTTCGAGCCCCGCGTCAGGCTCTGGGCTGATGGCTCGGAGCCTGGAGCCTGTTTCCGATTCTGTGTCTCCCTCTCTCTCTGCCCCTCCCCCGTTCATGCTCTGTCTCTCTCTGTCCAAAAATAAATAAATGTTGAAAAAAAATTTTTTTTTAAATAATTAACTGGGCATATTTATATGGATTTCCTTCTCAGATCTCAATTCTGTTCTATTGATCTGTGTGTCTTTCCCTCTGACAGTGCCCTCTGTCTTGAATACTATCTCTGTATAAGTCTTGGCATGAGGAAGAGTAATTCCTCCCACTTTGTTTCTCTTTTTCAAAATTACTTTGGGTATTCTAGGACCTTACCCTTTCCACCTAAGTTTTAGAATAAGCTTGTCTATGTCTACAAAGAAACTTGCTGAAATGTTGACAGGAATTCTAGATTAAGGTAGGGAGAATTGGTATCTTTACTGTGTTGAATCTTCTCACCTGTGAACGTGGTATATCTCTCTAATGCTATCTCCATCAGCATTTTATCATTTTCATCATACAGATCCTGACATGTTTTATTCATTTCAAACCTAAGTATTTCATTTCTCTTGAGCAATTTGAAATCAAATGGTAATTGTATTTTTAATTTTGATTGCCCTTTGTTCATTGTGGGTATAGAGAAATATAGTTGATATTTTTGTGTTAATCTTGTATCTTGTGACGTTTCAATGTTCAGAAGTGAGTTTCCCGAGCTCATTTCTTAGTTCTAGGAGTTTTTTGTGTATCCCTTGAGATTTTCTACGTAGACAGTCATATTGTCTGCAGATAGAGATAGATTTTTTTCTAGTCTGTATGCTTTAATTTCTTTCTCTCGCCTTATTGCAGTACTAAACTTAGAAAAGCGAGAGTGAACATCCTTGATTTTTTCCAACCTTAAAGGGAAAATATTCAGTCTTTCACCATTAAGTATGATGTTAGCTGTAGGTTTTTTTGTAGATGCTCTTTATGAGTCTGTGCAAGTTTCCTTCTATTCCTAGTGTGCTGAGTCATGAATGATTGTTGAATTTTGTCAGATATTTTCCTGTTATCATTTTAAACAATTTTCCTTTGTTAGCCTGTTGTTATGGTGGATTATGGTGGATTTAAATATACTGAACCAGCCTTACATCATCTGGAATAAATTCCATTTGATTGTGGTATGTTACTGTTTTTTATATTCATTGTTTGGGGTGCCTGGATGGCTCAGTTGGTTGAGCATCCAACTATTAATTTCTGCTCGGGTCATAGTCCCAGGGTTGTGGGATTGAGCCTTGCATTGGGCTCTGTGCTGAGTGTGGAGCCTACTTGGGATATTCTCTCTCTCTCTCTCTCTCTCTCTCTCTCTCTTCCTCTCCCTCCCTCCCTCCCTCTGCCCTTCTCCCCTGCTTGCACGCTGTTACTTTCTTTAAAATAAAATAAAATAAAATAAAATAAAATAAAATAAAATAGTTCATTGTTAGATTCAATTTGTACAAATTTTGCTGAGGATTTTTGTGCCTAAGTTCATGAGAAATGTTGGCTTATAGTTTTATTTTGTGCTGTCTTTGTCTGGCATTGGTTTCAGGGTAATACCTCATAAAATGAGTTAGGAAATGTTCCTTCTTCTATTTTCTGGAAGAGACTGTATAAACTTTGTGTTAATTCTTTGAATGTTTGGTAAAATTCTCCAGTAAAATTATCTAGGCCTAAGGATTTATTTGGGGGAGGGCTTTTCAATGACAAATTAAATTCCTTTAATTGTTTTAGGACTATTCAAGTAATCTATTTAATTTTGGCTGAGTGTGGTTCTTGAGGAATTGGTTCATTTCTTCTAAGTTGTCAAATTTATTAACATAAAGTTACTTGTAATTTTGTTATTTGTATTCCTCTATTATCTTTTTAGCAGCTGTAGGGACTGTTGTATTATTCCCTGTGTCATCCCTGAGTTTGATGAAATTGTCTTATTTCTTCATCTTTGTCACTTTTTTTTAATGTTTTTATTTAGTTTTGAGACAGAGAGAGACAGAACATGAGCAGGGGAGGGGCAGAGAGAGAGGGAGACACAGGATCTGAAGCAGGCTCCAAGCTCTGAGCTGTCATCACAGAGCCCGATGTGGGGCTAAAACTCACGGACTGTGAGATCATGACCTGAGCCGAAGTCGGACACTTAACCCACTGAGCCACCAGGCGCCTCCCCCATCTTTGTCACTTTTTATATAGACTTACCAGTTCTGTTGATTTTCATTTTAAAAGCCAGCTTTTTGCTTCACATTCTCTATTGTTTTTCTATTTTCAATTATTTACCTTTTTTTTTCCTTTCCAAGTGATGACCCTTTTTCTCTTCACAGGTTCCAACTCCATCTCTAAGGCCAAGGATTTTCACACCTCTAGTGACACCCTTGACACCTTCCCATTCTAGCCCTTATCAAAGCTCCAGAATGCATAATATAAGTGACTACGGGTCACCTGGGCCCCAGGCAGCCCAGCCTTTGCCCTTGGGCCCTGGGGTAAGGCCTGGTGAGTAAGTGAGTGAGTGAGTGAGTGAGTGAGTGAGTGAGTAAAGGTTTGTCTGGGGAGAGCACAAAGGAAGACAGTTGGCATGGCCAGCATGGATTTTGGGGGCATAATGCCTAATATGTAGTGAGAGGAGCTTGGAATTTGAAGTCTGAATCCCCAGTACTATTGCTTACTGGCTTTGTGTCTATGGGCAACAGACTTAGCCACTCTATTTCTTCTGAAAAATGATAGTAGATGTTATGTTGGTCATTTCAACCCTACAGAATTATTTTTAGGATCAATTGAGGAATAGTTAAAAGTACTTTGTAAATGACAGTTCTCCATACACACATACTAATGTTTTATTATTATCATTATTAGGTTTGTGTGTTCATTTTATTGCTGCCTTATTCTTCCCTGATATGATCTGAATCTCTCCCAAATTGAAGTTTGGTGGCAAATGACCTGTTTCTGTTCCTTTTCAGCTTTATTTGAACCACCACTGTTAAGAGAGCAAAAGGCACAAGTTCCTAACCCCACGGGGTTCCCTGGAACATGGCCTCCTCCTGGTCCACCTCCACCCATGGCACCCCCAGACACCATACAGCCTGGCTCTGCCTCCCTGGCTGAGACTGCTCAACAGCTCCCTCTGCTTCCTGTGAGACTCCCAGGTCTCAGCCCTATGAGCTTCCAGTCCCCAGCCCCTCCTGTCAGCTTCCCTGTGACACACCCTCCAGGAGGGCCTGGTGCTCCATGCTCTAATGCCCTCCCAACCACTGGCCTCTCGACTGTTCCCCCAGGTCAGTCTTCCTTCCACTGCTTCCCTTTTCTGGATCATTGCCTCCTTCTCCTCCCCTCGCCACTACCACCTTATTAGGAGTCTTTCCTCAGGCCAGTAAACTGGGGGCCTTTGGGTTGGAGAATGTCAGCTGAGAGTACGGCTGGTCTGCAGAGGGATGTGTGGTAGTCTCCAACTGAAATAATTTTGCTGGCCTTTAGGCTAAAAATTAACAACGTTCCTGACCATGCCCCTAAATACCTCTATCTTTGTGCTATGCAGGACCTCAAGATTCCTTGAAAAATGCCCCAGTGCCCAGGACAAACCTTCAGAGGAAAAAGGTCAATGCATCTCTTGCCACTTATCCCTCATACATTCACCAATGACCTACATTCCTGTTGAATTCAGCCCAGTCCCCTTCTTCGTCACACGCTCTATCCTGTCTCTTTCCCCACTCATTATTCTCCCCTCACCTGTCTCCTCTTTCCTTCTTGCGTGCAGATACCAGTCTCCCTATTTCCTGGTTCCCTACTCACTATTCTGTTCCCTTGCTCACTCACAAGTCCAGTGAGTCTCTCAAACCAGGGCCTAGGAAGTCTCTCAGCTTAGACTCATATGCCTTTCTTTCTCTGTCTCTAGTTGCCAGAGACATTTATGCCCCCAGCACGGATTACCACTCCAGTTATGAGCCTCACCTCTGAGCCACGAGGGGTCCTTTACTCCCAGCCTTCTGTCCCTGGTGTGGGCCATGCTCCCCCAGGAGCACCAGGAGAACTCAGCCTGCAGGTGAGAGGAGCAGCATGTTCCCCTCTGCTTTCCAACTCTGCTTGGGTATAGAAAAGCAGGGAACATGGAAGATGGGCCTCTTTCCTCAAGAGGGAGGCAGATTCTGCGCTGGGGAACTGGCGCAGGCAGGTACCAAATGTCCTTACCGCAGAGAAGAGGGGGTGTCCTTCTCCCCGACTCTGTTCTGCTCCAGCGGGAGAAGTGTGACACTGAGTCACTGAGGACTAGTCTGTAGGGCAGCTGTGAAAAGGAAATCTTGCCCATCTATCCTGTCTCCCTGCTCCTTCCTCAGCAGCTTCAGCAGCGGTCACCTGAGAAGGTGGAAAGGAAGGAGCTGCCCCCAGAGCATCGGTCCTTGAAGATTAGCTTTGACAAGCTTCTACGACGCTGCTCCCTGTCTGCCGCTGATTTAGTAAGTCTGAGCCTTCCCCACGATGTTCTCCTCACACCGCTAGCTAGTCCCAGGATTTCTGAGCTGTTCATCAGTTCCTTGTGTGACTTTTTTCTCATGGCCCCTGGGCCCCTGTGTCTTGTACTTATTTGATATCCATGTGGGGACATGGGGCTCGTCTGGTCTGAGTCCAGCTTCTCGGTAGCAGGGCCCAGAGGCATTGAGGCTTAATTCTTGGAAAGGCAGCCCGGGGCACTGGAGGGTAGGTGAAAGCTAGGAGTAGGAGACCTGCCATTCATTCACCGACCGTGTCCGCTTGAGCAAGTCACTTACCGTCTTTGGGCCTTCATTTCCTCTCCTGTGAAATGAAAGCAGTAGCATTAAGCCATTCCAGCTCTAATATACTGTGATTCTTTATAGTCCTGTGTAGTGTTAGTCTTAGGGGCTGGAGTCAGAATCCATTTCCCTCCCTGCAGAAGACAAAACGGAAGCTGGATGAGGCAGCCCAACGTCTAGAATGTCTATATGAGAAGCTCTGCCAGGGGACAGTAAGTACGCTTCGTGGTGCACCTCTGCCCCCTGCCCTCCATCACCCATGGCCAAAGGGAGCCCAGTGTCCTCTCCCATAGGTCTCACCGGCCTGGGTTCCCCCACACAATACATACATCTTGCCCGGACTGGGCTCCAGAACTTAATCCTCTCTTACCCTTCCGTCCTGCCAGGGTAGGGGCTGGGTTGGGCTCCCTGACCTAAGGGTCGATCCCTCCACAGCTCTCGCCTCATGTCCTGGCTGGGCTCCATGAGGTTGCCCGATGTGTGGACGCAGGAAGCTTTGAGCAGGGCCTTGCAGTGCATGCCCAGGTGGTGGGCTGCAGCAGCTTCAGCGAGGTCTCCAGCTTCATGCCTGTCCTGAAGGCCGTCCTCACCATTGCTCATAAGCTGCACACGTAAACCAGGCAGCCTCTCTTGCCAGGAGGCTACTTCTGCTGTTACTTACCTCCTCCCTGTGGAAAAGGGGGAATGTCGGAAGAGATTCTGTTTGTTTTTCCCTACCCTCTTCCCTTGCTGCCAGGTATATGATGCTGTGGGCTTGCCTCTAAAGTTAGCAGGGTGCTTTTCACCCTTTTATGCCTGGCCTTGTAGAATCCACCCAAGGCTCTTGCAGCATCAGAGGCAGAGCATATAGCTGGTTCTTCACCTTCCCTGACTCTGTACTCTGACAGGACCTGGGGCAGGGCCTCTTTAAGAACCCCAGAGATATTCTGTTTAAGTGGCTTCTGAGGGGGTGAACAGGATTATTACCTCCAAGTCTACCTCTGCTGTACCCATCTTGTGGGGCTTTTCTTTCTCCCCTTCTGTGAGTTAAGAGCCTGGCCTTACCTTCTCCTTGCCTCTGAGTTCCTATTTCCGGGTCCATTTTCCTCTGAGCCCCCGAGGCTGGGGTAGAGTTGACTATTGTTCATCTTCTGAACAAATCATGAATGTGAGGCATGGGTGCTGAGCAGAACCCAGAGAAGGAACTTATTAGATGCTTTTTACAAGGACCTTCTCTTCTGCCAGCATCATAAGGGTGGGCTAGGTCAGGTGGAAAGGAGAAGGGGTGCACTGTCTTTTGCTGGGAGCTGTCTTAGGCTATGAAATAGGAGCAGAGAGACCTCTGCCTGCAGGGAATGGTCCTGACTTGACCTGTCTGAGCCCTGGCCCAAGGTCCTTCCATTGTGTGATTATGAGCCCACTTCTTGAATAGGAGCCACATTAACAAGACTTTTCTGGCACTGTTCCTCAAGGGCTGGAGGCCCTTCTCCTCCTCAGCCCCCACACGTCTCAGGGCTGCCTCCTCTGGCTGCACTCTTCATGGTTGGACTTTGCATTTGAAGCACTGTTGTACTCAATGGGCAATAAAGCCGCTTCGATTTGGTTTCCTCAGTCATCTCCCAATGATTGTCTCCTCTGGGTCCTGTTTTGCCCTTACCTCTCTTCCTAGCCTCTTTGTTCTTGCTTCCCGCACCCCAGAAAGACAGGAGAAGGGTTTGGGGACAGATGGGGAGTCAAGAGAGTTGAAGAAAGGAGGGTGGCACTGAATTAGGCTGCAAGACTTTCTCCTCGCAGCATTTGTGGCCGTGTGTGTGTGTGTGTGTGTGTGTGTGTGTGTGTGTATCTCCATCCGTGCCTGACATGCAGCTCTCGGGGTTTTCCCCACACCACTTCAGGGCTGAGCTCAGCTGCACAAAGGGGCTGGGTGTGAAGCCAGGGGTACTATCTCTAATCCTGTTGTAGATCCCATCATGTCTGTGGGCTAGATGTGTATGTTTGGGAGGAAGGGATTGTTAGGCAGTATTTGTTTGTAAAGCCACTTGCTCTTCAGATAATACTTGCACTAACTTCTATTGATGAAGCAGTGTGAGCCCCAGCAAAGTCCTTTCCCAAAGTGTCTTTGAAGCCAAGAGCCCATTGAAGGGAAGAAAGGCCGGGAGAGGGGATTAGTTTGTTCAGCAGCTGTGAATTTCAGTGGGAGGTTGATGAACTCTGAAGTCTTTGTTTAAATTAAAGGGGGGGAGAAAAAAGCCGCTGCTGGAGCGAGGGCCCCACTTGGGGCCCTGAACTAACACAAGGAGAAGTCTGAGCTGCAGGGAGCTGTGTACTGACTGCGAAGACTTTTCCCAAACACTTTCAGGAAAGGTGTTGTGAGAAGAGAAGGGGCGGAGTGGGGGATTAGCATGTGAAATGAAGTTTTCATTGACTCCAGTGGGGGTAGAAGGCTATTTTAATGGCATTTTGTTCTCTTATTTTCTCTTCTTGAGCTCTTTAGAGATATTGTTTTGCTAAGGCAGGCTTTCTTCCCCCTTCTTTCCAGTCTGCGGATTGCCTCTATGGGAGCCAACATAAATATTTCTCCTCCAGGAATGCGGGTTAATTAAAAGGAAATGAATGAGTGGAAGCATCCAATCCAGACCCACAATAGGCGGGTGCCCTGGCCTGCCCTCCCCTCCCACCACCGCCAGCACCACCAGCACTGAGCACGACCCTAACCTGCTGCTAAGGCCAGTTGAGGCTGGGATTCTTTTCAAGAAAAGAAACCCCTGCCTGAGTGTAGGCTCAGAGGCCAGGGACAGGAAGGAGACAGTGTTTTGCACCACTCTCCCCACCCCCCACCCCCTGCACAAACCCATATCCTTGTCACTTCTCAGGATCCCCCTCTGCTTCTCTCCTCTGCTGGAGACAGATGGGCCTTAAAGAGTACACAAGAGAAGGGGAGAGACCAGGGTTCCAGTGTGCACCCCATGGCAACTTACTAGTTGGTTGAACAAGCCAGACATCTTGTTCAGCATCAGTTTTAATCTGTAAAACAAAAGCTTTGACTAGCTGACCTCCAAGGTGTCTTCCCAAGCAGCTGTTCTGGAGTTGTCCATGTTTGCAAAGGGGAACACAGCCCTGGTGGTTGAGTATAAGAGAGAACCTAAACTCCATGAATGCAGGGAGGTCACTGTGTTGTTCGCCATTGGACTTGCACTCCAGCGTTTGTTGAATGACCAAATGAATGAATAGATAATGCAAAAAAGGAAAAAAAAGCAATGCAGATCTAAGGTAGCTCAGTAATGTTTTCTTTATAGAACTCAGATGAAGCTGGTATCAATTATAGCCATTTGGGAATACAAAACAACCCCCTATGAAAGAACTTTCTGGCAGCATGACAGGTTTCAAGTACTGACCTGGAATTATCAAATACGAAGCACAATAGTCCTACTTTTGTGCTGAGAGACCTCCTGGAGAATGCAGCTTTCCTGTACGATATTGTACTTTTGTATCTTCTAGCTGCCTTGCCAGATTTTCTTACCGCACACTGTCAAGTAATTCTGCCAAGTGGGACAGCCAGGTTAGTATATGTTGCTGCTTGATTAGGAAAGATCAAGTTGAGAGATTCAACAGGCTCAGATCAAAGCTGAGGGACTGAGCAAAAGGCCTTTTGCTGATTGTACTGGAAATGAAGCAATAGGAGACCCTGAAGGGCAGTGTGTCCCTGTGAGGAAGGACAGGCAACCTCTCTCCTCAGTAAGTGTTCATCGACCAGAGGATATGTAGGGAAGAGACTAGGGGTTTGGGGTCTGACCTGGCCACTGCCCCAGTCTGGAATATAAGAGGAGTCTTTCCACTGTCCCGGGTTGGCCCCTAAAGCCTCAGCCCCTGTTACCTATTGAGAGCCACATTTCTGTGCTGTCTCCTACTCTGGGAGGTAGGATGAGGTGGTCTGGCATCTGACCAGTTCTCCTAAACAGCTGCCCCATGCCCAGACCCAGGGCCAGCCTCGGAGAAGGGAGATGGCTGGGAAGCTCCTTGGGCTGCAGTCTGTCAGGGATTTGGCTCTTCTCTTTCCAGAGCCCTCTTTCAGAAGCAAGTCCCTGCTGGACTGCTTCTGTCTCAAGCACCACAAGCAGTGAGCTCTTAGCTACTGAGTGAATGTATTGGTGGAAGATTTATGTGGATTATTCACTAATTGTTGGCAGATTAGCCTCATACAGACCAGTGTAACTACTTAGGCCATCAGGGAAGTGAGGCTTAAGGGAGGATAGTGTTCTGGCAAGGTGGAAGGGAAGAGAGGGCCTAGACGTTCTATCTTCCACTCACCCTTACCTGTGTCCCCAGGAATAAGTTCAATACCTAGAAAAGAAGGCACATATCACAGTGACTGTAATAAATTAAAGTTCGAGGTGCTGAACTTCCTATTGGAAAGTTTCCCTGCAGGAAGTGTACCTATTGAAGGAAAGTATCCAATGCCCTGAATCCTGCCTGTTTGAGATCCAGGTTTGTGAAAAGAAAGGGTCCCAGCTTCTCCTGCTTTATGATCTGCTTTTAGAGCTGCAAGCTGGGATCTGAATGGGAAATTGACATTCCTTAGCTCAGTCTTGGCTCAAAGGAACAAGGATCATTTGGGGAAGGAGAAGAGGTAACGGCGGCGGCTAGGAGGAAACAGTAGGGAGAAGCTGACATTAAAAGATAGCAAGTGACTCGTAATCTGCCCTTACATAGTTCCTAGACACGG